AATTTTATTTGGGTTCTTTAGTAATGAAGTTTGTTGAGAATTAACTAAATCCTGGAAAGGCATGTAGGCAACAAAAGCATGGCATTTGTACATCTACCTAAGGTTGTGTCCCTAAATGGTCTGTTATACCAGAAACTCTGCACCCAGTTTTCTTTGTGGCCTGTTAGTCATGAACATAGTAGTTGCTTATCTGAAATTGCACGGAATGTGATTAACAAAATCAAAGTATGAGAATTAGGAAGTCAGTGAGAAGTCCATTCCTGCACAAACATTCTGAGCGCCCATGTGCCTGGAGTGGTCAGTCTCACCCAGGCCAGGCATCTTCCTTTCAGAGCTGAGGTGCTCACTCTTGTTGGGAGAGGCAGCTGGTAGTTAATGCTTAAGTGGAGATAGGTGCTGAAAGTCAAAATAAAGCAGGGAGGAGCCTTGAAAAGGAGAGAAGGGGGCTGTGATTAATATGTAGTTGGAAGGTCTCATCTCTTTAGGCCTCTCATTGGAGCATCCAGGTAGAATCTCACATGAAGCAGAACTGGGTCCAAAAATGGAGGCACCCACCTTGGCTGAGGCAGGTTACACTGTAGGGACTGTGGTAGAAAACCAGGTAACAAGTTGGCAGGATCCATATGATGTAGGAAGGTACTTGTGGGCAGCAGGAAGTGGAAGGATGGAGCTTTTCCTTTGAGTTGTGAGTAGTTATTGTTTGCCTGGTCATGGTCAGACTGGTTGCTAGTGTTATGGGTTGAGCACCTGTCAGGAGCCTGCTGTAGTCCATGCAAGAGATGATTGATGAGGTGGTTCACACCAGAGTAACACAGAGAATGGTGGCTTAATTTCAGATACACTTGAAGGTAGAGCCAGTTGGTGAACATTAGGATTTAAATTGGTGTATGGTCACTTTTGACCATGAAATCTGAAGCAAGAAAAACTACTTGCTTGGGAAGACTGCTAGAAACTTAGCACTTCCAGCATATGCTTAATAAGCAGGGAAATTAACCTTGCAGCAACTTTTTGGATCAAAAATTTAGGAGCATGGTGAAGAGGAGGAAGTGGGTAGATACCTTTGGGGTCCCAAAAGACAAGTGACAGACTTGCCAGCAGGTACTGTCCTGGTTCTAAGCCCCAGGATATGGCTGTAGAGTGACTTCTTTGGGGGTCAGGCTCGACCTTTTGTTTTGGCACAAAATCCTACTGTACCCAAACACCAAGCTGGGAATAAAGCAGTGAAGGGCTCCTTGGCTCCTTACTGGCTGGGTGTGGCTGGGTGGAATGTGGGAAGACTTGGGAAGCAATAAAATAGAAAGAGGGAGGAGGAAGGGAAGATGAAGGGCCACAGAAGCAGGGTGGCCTTGGGCTGTCAGCTGAAAACCAGCTTCTGTGGGTGGGCCTGCTTCTCTCACTCAGCCTGAGCAACCTGCTTTCATATAATGGAAAAAGCCTCATGTCCATCTGCTGTGTTTGTTGAAATTATTTTATAAGCTTAAAAAAATTCTTGCTTTCATTTTCATTTCAGGCACATAGCAGTATTTCCCTGCAAGATGAAAATCCTCCCTCAGTATATTTTCAATTCTCGAGATCCAATAGTGATGGGGGTGACTGTGGAAGCAGGTCAGGTGAAACAAGGAACACCTATGTGTGTTCCAAGCAAAAATGTAAGTTCCAGCTGTACTGAGAAAGTGGTCTTATCTCCATGGGAGGGGGAAAAAAAGTTTTGTTTCCAGAACTTTAAAAAACCATCCAAGCTTTTAGCTTGGTATTATTGCACCTCAGTATGGGTAAATGTCAGTCTTTAAACAAAAGAAAAATCAACATGGTTTGCGTAGTACACTGTTTGCAGTCCCCATTCACACATCATCACTTGTCCCTCATTTCTCTGGTGACTCCACTCAGCAGCTGGTTCCCTTCTAGGTGTGCGTTGGCTGCGCCGTACCTGGTGGTTTTGCACAAACACTCCTGCATTTGGATCGTCTGCCTCCTCACTAGCTAGTTAGAATTATTGGGAAGGAACTTACAAAGGAGTTTTGTGACTTCTGTGTCACACTCACACTGCTGCTGTCTGCTCAGTTCCCTGAGGAAATTGCTGAAAGAGAAAACCGTCTCCGTGGTTCTTGGGAGAGTTCTTATGATGGCCTGTTTCTCAACAGCCTTCTCCTAATGGCTTCAGTACCCACTGCAGTCAGTCAGCACCCAAGTTCTTTCATAAATGGATGCATAATTGTGAAAATCACAAGTATCCAATAGACTTCAGTTTTGTGGTTTTTAAACTGTAGTTTGGTCAGTGAGATCACGGAACTTGCACAACTCCTGGAGCATTTCCTCCTGGAAAGGGTAGTGACAAGTTCCAGGCTCATCCAAGATACCCTGCCCCAGCGCATGGCCCTTGAAAGTTTGTGCTTCCGTACCATTTCAGTGTTCTCTAGGACACTACTTGCAGTAAAATCAATTTTCCATGTGACTTTGACCTCCTAAACCAAGCCAAGCTCTTCCTGGTTTTAGTCCCCTCAGACCCCGCCTCCCCTCTCTACTTTTTTTGAGACCGGCTAGGCTCAAATTTGCTGTTTTGGGGTGGCTGGAATTACAGGTGTGCTATTTTCACACCTAACTTTTTCCACTTGTTCTCTAGTACCTTTTTCCACAAGGCAGTCCAGGGGGTCCTCCCCTGTAAACTAGTGTCACTGTGACTTGTCATTTTCAATCTGCATAATGTTTCCCCAGCTGCCTTTCTGACTTCATCTCCACTGATTGCTTTGAGTTCATTCCTGATGTGGAGCCTGCCATTCCCTCCTAATACTGCTCCGTCCTCTCAGGACAGGCTGTATTAGGAGGGAAAGTGACCCTGGGTGAGCAGAGCACGTGTAAGGGTTTACGCAGTAGTTCATCAGTGGTCTCTCTTCATCCTTATAGCTGTCTTATAAAGGGCATAAGTCAAAAATTCTTCCTGATTCTGTGGTAAGCACAGGATAATGTGCCTAGGTTTTTAGAGTGGGCTCTGTGTGTATCTCAGCTGTCAAGGTGCTGTGGAGGGTAACACATCCCTCTGCATACATTATATTTTCTATTATCTTACAGTTTGTCGACATTGGAATAGTAACAAGCATTGAAGTAAATCACAAACAAGTGGATGTTGCAAAAAAGGGACAAGAAGTGTGTGTCAAAATAGAACCCATCCCTGGTGAATCTCCCAAAATGTTTGGGAGACATTTTGAAGCTACAGACATCCTTGTCAGTAAAGTAAGTATTTCAGTGGCATGTTTTCAGAAATTGGGGTGGGGGTCTGGTCACTTTTTTGGATTACCTGTATCAATAGCTTTGAAGTCTGTCTGGATCTGTAGAATCTGATAGTACTGGATCCTTCTCTAGGGCCTTGTCCTGGTTAAGGACAGTACCTCTAAGTACAGCAGCACTGACAGAATGCCAGGGCCTCTGCTCTGTTCCTTGCAATGTATTGGAGGGGGGGAGCTCTACTCCCTTAGGCAGGCTTACATTGTTTCTGCTGCTGAAGTTTTCTTTACACTGAGCAACATTTGTGCACCTGTTTGTTACATTCTGTTCACACTGTTTGTGCCTCATGCATTGCAGATCAGCAGGCAGTCCATCGATGCACTCAAAGACTGGTTCAGAGATGAAATGCAGAAGAGTGACTGGCAGCTTATTGTGGAACTGAAGAAAGTATTTGAAATCATCTAAATTTTTCACATGGGGCAGGAATTGGAGTAAATGCAATATTATGTTTTAATACCACCAACAAAACAAAGACAAAAAATGGAACAGATGTATCTGGACACTGATGGACTTAGGTGTATAAAACGTTTTCCATGAGAAACCAAGAAACTTACACTGGTTTGACAGTGGTCAGTTACACATCCCCACAGTTCCAGCGTGCCTGTTCGTTCACACCCTCCTCACCCCACCCTTCCTTACTTGGCTGCTGTTTTAAAGTTTGCCCTTCCCTAAATTTGGATTTTTATTACAAATCTAAAGATCTTTCAATTTTATACTGATTAAATCAGTCCTGCAGTATTTGATTAACCTCGCTTCTGCAGATTTTGTGATTCTTGGGACTTTTTTGATGTAAGATACACATCTTTCTTTATGCATATTCTTCCGCCATAAGCCCTTAGGGATTTTTTAAAATAGAAAATGAAGCATTCTGATATTTATCTGCTTTGTGTGAAACCATGGTGTAAAGCATAGCTGGCTGCTTTTTACTGCTTGTATAGTCATGAGAGTCTTGTAATCATCACAGTTCAAAAACTAATAATAATAAACAGACATTGCAGTACTGGTAAGTAGGCTTCCATGTCAGTGTAGCTTCTCATCCTCATATCAGACCATCAAACTTATATCCTAGCATAAGGCAACAGGAGGGATTTTCATTCATTAATCTTGTTCTGTTTTGTTTGTCCTTTTACCATGCACATACTTTCTGATAAGACAGCTGGTAACGATGGGCAATTTATCTGGGTTTGGTGCCTCTGAGTCACTTCAGATACCTCATAGTGTGATTTGTTCATGGTAGCGATCCAAATTGCTAGCTCTAGATTAATATGGATCTAAGAAGCAGACACTCTTGTTGAGGGAAAATAAGTATTAATTAGCAGCATGGACTCAAACATATATAAAATTTGTATGCTGTTAATGCTCTCTTAAAGATAGTTTGACAATCTATACTATTCTTCATTATCAAAATTTCTCTAGGGCCAGGAGAGGCATAGCGAATACCACCTCAGAACTATCTGTGGGACTTCATTTTTCCCAGAAGCTCCCCCACACAGAAGAAGAAAAAATTTACTTAACATGTTCATGTGCATGCTTGGAGACAAGAATAAGATGATTTAGAAGCTTTACCCTTTCAAGTAGAATCCTGGTCTGGGACCTCTCAGGAATTTCAAAGCTTAGCATGGATCCAGCCAGAAACGGTCTGGAGGTTTTTCAGCCTCTTAAGTATAATAAATAGTTGCTTCCTAGAGTTGAGTTTTTAAGGATTCACAAAAAGGAGCCTGTACAAAATATACATACAGTTCTTTATTAAACAACTGTAAACACTTCACTGTAAAAATCCATAAAACTTTATAAACAAACATTTTGTAAATAGAATCTATGCTACAGTAAAAGAATTAACACAATTATTTACATGCAATACTGACAAATTTGGCACTTTTTGAAAAGAAATGTACAAAAACACTTGCTTTAAAAAGAAATCTGAAAATGTAAAAACTCAGAGCATTACTATCATGCACTTTGCAAATACCTCACAAGCACTTATGGCACAGCTAGCGGAGAGCACCAGGCTCTCTGGTAATATTTATGTAACTTTTAATGTGCTTCCATAAGTTTGTTGTAAAACCACCTGAACATTGTCAAGAATAAAGTCAAATGCCATATTCCAAACCGATTCCACCGATTGCTGCATCAACCTGAAAGCGGGAAAGAAGAAAAACCATCATTAGGAAAGAATTCTAAGACTTAATTCCTTTTTCAAGTCTTCATTGCTTCATTTTTTACACACAAAAGGTGATCTTGGCCAGAAATTAAAATCCTAAGTAGAACACTAAAAAGGAAATACATTCCGATAGTTTTTAAATCGCATATTAGACATAGATCTCAAGGGCAACAACCTTATTTTAAACTTTCTATTATCAAAACATGGCATTTTTTTGATAATCCGGAAGAATATATTTTGCCAGGAATAAGTTTCCAGGAAAGCCTTCATATATTTCCAGTTAACTGTTTATACAATATCACTGGGAATTCCCTTCCATAAAAACACAACTTACCTTTTCATGTATTTTATAACTAAGTCCAGTTTTTCCAAATCTTTTTCCTCTATAAGATCAGTACAGTATTTCACAACTTGCAATATATCTTCTTCCATTGGATCTAGAAAGGGGGAAAACCTCAAATAAGGACCATGATGTTTAATATAAAGAATAGAGAGAGCTGCAGGGACAAAAGAAAAAAGAATGGGCTGCAGAATTGGGACTTTTTTCAAAGCAAGTCCAAAAGATCAGTAAGAAATTCGCATTCAATCTGTACAGTATGTTCATGTTCTCTTGAACAGGGCCACCCACAGGTCAAGCCAACCTGAAATGGTAGTTATCCATTCTTTGAGCAAGGTCTTTACATCACTGAACTCAACAGCTCCAGCTAGATTGGGTGCTGCAGGCCTAACACAGCTGGCCAGGTCAGGCTGCAAAGTGGAAAGGCCTGGCTCTCCTGAGGAGGAAGCAGCGATTTCTTCCTGTTGAAAAAACAAAAGATAAAAATGCTATTTTTAGAAGTATCAAGGACATTAAGACCTGATACAACTCAAGAGTTTTAAAAGTATTTTTCAAAAAACTTACCAGGGGTTTCTCAGCAGCAGGTCCTTCATGTTTTAGGAACCCATCAATTAACTTCTGGGGACTCCCACAGGCCCCTGGCAGGGATTTTGCAGGACTGCTAAGCAGTTTGTTTTTCAGAGGGCTCTGAATCTTTTTCTTGGGACTCATGGGGGTTTTTTTCTTGGTTTTCTTCTTTTCTTTCACTGTTGCTGGCTTTAGCTGAAGTAAAGGATTCTTTGGCACTAAAGGAAGAGGTGTATAATGAGTCTGGACAGGACCATAAGCTCTTTCCCTTTCCAAATATGCAACCCCCACCTCCCAGAACATCCATCCTAAAACACCTCCCACCAGGAGTGGCAGTGCCAACAGGCTCCACACTTCCTCTGTCTCAGCTCTGGCACTTACTAAGTCAGCCTTTGGTATGATTATTTATAATGGGGTGGTCACAGGATTGGAAGAAGAATCAACAGATGGAAGCCCTCATAACAGTGTCTGCTAAACTGTAAACTTTATAGAATTGTTACTCTTATAGAGTAAAAGTGGATTCAGGTGTTTGTGATGCACATCCACAAACCTTGAGATGATGTTGTGTGAGTCTTTGACAAATATTGAAATGATCTGTCACTTCATTCTTTAAAACAAAGTCTGTATAAGACTCTAACTAGGACTATGCCAGCTCCCACCCCTACTGTAGCCCTGTTCAGATATTCTCCAGTAATGAAATCTGTTAATGGAATGAACGTTTATTTAAGCCACTTCCCAGGCTTACCAGATGCACTGGCTGGCTGCTGGTAACTAGTGTCTTCTCCCTGCCTTTGTCTTTGCTCATATGCTGCTTTCAGCTCCTTTTGAAGCTCAGCAGGAAGGGCAGCAAAAACCTCAGGGTCCACCTAGTGGGAAAGCAAAGCCCAGAGTCAAACTTGGATTAATTTTAAATGGCAGCTGGTTTATATTTTTTCACAAAGGTTTTGTTTTCAGGTCAACCTTTGCTGACCTGTATGAATTCTTTAGGTCTTCAGTATCAAATATTAAATCTTGAAAGACTTTAGGGTAAGAATAGGAATTAAATTTGAGCACTAATTGGAACTTAAAACAGGAGCTGAGACTGTTACTGTCCCCCATATCTGACTACATTCCCGCCTGGTGACGGGCTCTGGCCAATGCGACAGAAGCAGAATATGTTCATTATTCTAGGTAGGCACCCATGCACCATCTGCTCCATTAAGTCTATGGTCTCCTGATGAGGCAGAACCAAGAATCCCACTCCCCATTGGACACAGCATGAGCTACTGAATTAGGGTGCAGAGGGGAAAGGGAAATAAGATGGTGTAGGATGGATGAGAATGCTTAAAACTATGGTAGAAGGTGCTTGAATTTAACTTACCTGTGAAAATGCTGGAAGGGCTATAACACTTATTCCTGTGTCACTATTAGATTCTTCAGGTTCTGGTATTTGCAACAATACTGTCCCAACTGGTTGTGCTAGAACTCCCGAATTACAGCCATTTACCGGTTCTTTCTTTTTGTCACCACGTGGCTCTCCCTGCTGAACAGCACAAACTTGTTCTATCTGTTCCCGGATATCAGATGGAAGTGCTTCTAGAACAGACTGATCAAGCTGTAAAATATCAAACATGAATTTGAGGTTAAAGTGTGCTTAGACATGAGGTGTTTAGGGGAGGGAACCTCTTAGATCATGAACACAGAGTGCAAACCACTGGGCTAGAAAAGCTACTGTCCCTCCTGGGCCCCTGCCCCCACAAGCACATCTTTGGAATGTCTTTGCCTTTTGCCATTGACACCTGATGTGACATTAGGAGTCTGGAGGTAAGTGTGGAACCCTGCCAGTACCACAAATCAGGTAAATCCACATATACTTGTATACTGTCTTGTAGGAGGAGCTCACCCATGGGAGAGGCCAGAGCCCAAGATACATTAACTTTCGGGGACAGTTAATGTCAGAATTTACCTTCCTGTATGAGACTGCCCCAAAATACTAATAAATCTAGTCTGAAAGGAAGCTGGAAAAGGGGGTTTCTAGAAAATACTTTTCTCTGCCCACGTACATCCAGTACTTGGGAAACATGGCAATCTCATAACCTAGATAGACTCATCTTACCTAGCCAGAAACAACTGTTGGGTGTCACCAGCAACTGGGAGCCAATGCAAGGATATCAAAATTGACCCTCCCTCTCCCTAGTACTATAGCCAGCATTGATATCTTCTCTAGTACGGGATAGAGGGAGATCACAAATGAACTTCCTTTAGAGCTTAAAAGTGCTATCATTTCCCAGGGGCAAAGGATGCCAACCATGTACCAACCACACTTAGAGCCTACACAAACTGAATTTTAAGCTTAGACTCTAAAACATTCACTCTACAAAAAGAAAGGTTTGCAAATGCTGCAAACCCCTTTGACATTAGATCCTAGTTCACTAAAGATCACCAGATTTGCTCTGTTGAATACAGCAAGCCTGCATGATTACACTGACAAAGTGCCAGCTCATGAGGACAGCCTTTTAAGCCACACTTTTACAACTTGCAAGAGTTGCAAATATTTGCAAAAGCACTTTCATCTACACGAATTACTGTCCTGTAAAATTCTGGAAACCTTATTTATTCTAACCAGTAGCCTTTTCTCCCTTTGGTTCTACGGATGGAATAAAAAATGTCATTTGTAAGCTACTTTTGTACTTAGGAGTATAAAAACATACCTGGGAAGGTGACGGGACCTCTATACTCAGGTTAAGTCTTGACTGCACATTGACGGGAGAATGCAGACCATTCCATTTCCTTGAAGACTCTCCCTTGTTAGTGTCAGGACTCACACTAGCTGGCAGATGTGTATTAAAGGATGGTAAGAAAGTGCAACTTCGAGAGGCAGGTGATATTTCCAGATCCACAGCCGTCAGAAACACTACAAGTATAGAAAAATACGCTTTATAGCCTCCTTAGGTAATTTGAATCCCAGGCATCCCTTTGTCTGCTGTAAATACTTATTAGGGCCATAGTTAAAATGTAAATCTGTTCTTCAGGGAAAAATTTACAGAGTCAGGCCAATTTGAAAATTAACTGCTTTCCCAAGGACATAATCAGAACCAAACAAGAACCATGTGACAACCACCAACCTTCCCTGTGGTCCTCTTCTGTGGACTTCTTAGCTTTCTGAACTTGGAAGAGGTCACGGACAGAATGTGACCCACCAGGAAAGTGGTTTGGCTGAACTGAAAGGCGACTGGAACATGTGGAATGGTTTGGATTAGTAGGAATCAGCTGATTCACATGAATCCCAACCTAGAACCAGAATAAAGAGTATGTTTCTAGGAAAACAGATATGAATTTTGCTCAGCAAAATTCTCATCTAATCCTTTTTTTTTTTTTAACTATCTTCTAGATCTTGTTTTTAGAACAAAGGGTTAAATGAAAATATTCAAATACACAGTCTTCTATGAGATTCATTAAAAAATATGACTTTTAGGGAAGCAATTAAGCAGTTATTCTCAACCTTGAGTATCCAACTCATCTCAAATGTGCTACAATGTCTTCAAAAATCAGAAAAATCAAACAAGTAGAATATTATATTCCACTGATATGCTAATCAACTAAGGTTTTGAAAGTAGGATTTAAATGTAAGAAATTAATTCACTTAGGATTAGGGATGCAGCTTAGTAGTGAAGCACGTGCTGGGTATATGCTAGGCCCAGGATTCAAAGCCCCACCACCCCAAATAGGGAATATTATGGCAACTTTCCTTCACTGACCATTTTTCTTTTTAAAAATTAAATATTTTTCAAGTAAAAAATGAGAGGAGATGAGCAAAGGTACACTGCAAAGTTACTACTAGCTCCCCCACCATAAACTATTAAAAAACATTCAGGAAAAAGTTTCAATTATGGCTGGTGTACTGACTTTAATCCTTCTACAATGAACCAAAAAACTACCCTTATTCATCTGGGTACCCAGAAGTAAACCTATGAAGTTCATCTTAAGAACAGAAATGTGAGGTGTGATTTGGGTGGGGTGGGAGGCCTTCTGCCCATCTAAAGCCATTTGCTCAGGCCTGTGATTTCTCTCTTTTGATCATCAAACTACAGACATCAGAATAAATTTTTAAAAAGACCTCAAAGTTACAGGGTTTACAGATTCAGACTTCTCAGTGCTATCTACTTCTAAGGAAACAAGAACAGGAAAAACAATACAATGCGTATAAAAATTAACCTTTGGTTAACTGAGGGAAAGGTACTATAAAAACATAAGGTCTCTGGGAATGGGGTTGTGGCTCAGCGGTAGAGTGCTCGCCTAGCATGTGTGAGACCCTGGGTTTGATCTTCAGCACCACATAAAAATAAATAAATAAAATAAAGGTACTGTGTCCAATTCCAAGTAAAAATATTTAAAAAAAAAAAAAAGAAAGAAAAACAAGAAAAAATAATAAGGTCTCTGCCAGGCACAGTGGTATATGCCTTTAATCCCACTGACTCAGGAAGCTAAGGCAGAAGAATCTCAAATTAAGGCCAGCTTGAGCAAATAAGCAAGACTTTATCTCAAAAAAATAAAAGTGAAGGGCTGGGGGTGAACTCTGGTACAGCACCACTGGGTTTAATCCCCAATACCAAAAATAAATCCTACGATACAGAATTGTTGATCTAAGCATAAAATAGTTTCCATAGCAAATAAGACTACTCTCTCAAGTCTAAAAAGCTCAGATCTGATGAGAAAGTCAAATTTACCTTAGATTAACTCAAAGGAGCTGAAGACCTGCAACTATTAACTTCCTATTCCCTACCATGAAATATGCAGAAAAACTGGTTATCCATATGTAGATAAAGAGACCAAGCCACAAATGAAGCTTACAACATTACAGAGTTTAATGTCACACACTTACCCCTCTCATATCTGATATATTTAGTTTCATTGTATGAAACATGTTCAACGTAGCCTTTCCAATTATTTTTGCACTGTCTGTTGCATGGTCAAGAGTTACAGTCCTGCATTAATAAAATTAGAGATGAAAAAGGAGAAATCACCACAGACATCACAGAAATACAGCAGATTATTAGGGACTATTTTGAAAATTTAGATTCCATTAAACTGGAAAACCCGGATGAAATGGATACATTTCTAGACAAATACACCTGCCAACCCTTAATTTTGAGGACACAAAAAACCTAAACAGACTAATAACCTATAATGAGACAGAAGCAGTAATAATAGTCCAACAAAGAAAAGTCTAGGACCAGATGGAGTCTCCGCTGAATTCTACCAAACCTTTAAACAAGTACGAATGCCAATACTTCTCAAATTATTCTATGAGATAGAAAAGGATGGAACACTTCCAAATTCATTTAATGAAGCCAATATCATACTCATACCAAAACCAGATAACACATCAAGAAATAGACCAACACACTAATGAACTTAGATGCAAAAATACTTAATATATGCAGAAAAGGCCTTAACAAAATTCAGCACACATTCATGATAAAAACACAGAAGTAGTTAGGGAAGTAGCTACCTCAACAAAGGCTATATGTGAAAAATCCAAAGCCAACCTCATACTGAACGGGGAAAGACTGAAAGCATTACCTTTAAAATCTGGAATAAGACGTGTATATCTACTCTCGTCATTCCTATTTAATATAGTGTTAGAAAATCTAGCCAGAGCAATTAGGCAAGAGAAGGAAGTAAAATGAATAAAAAATAGGAAAAGAAGTCAAATTATGACTGTTTGCAGATAATATTATCCTATATTTAGATGATCTTCCAAGAGTACTAAAAAATTAGCAAAGTAGCAGGTTACATAATCAACAGCTTTCCTATATATCAACAACAAATCTGAGAATGTAAACAGGAAAACAATCTCATTCACAATACCTCCCCCCCCCCGCCACACACACACACAAAACTAACAAAGGGAGGTAAAAAGACCTCTACTATGAACTATAGAACACTGAGAAAGACACTGAAGAAGACTTCAGAAGATGGAAAGATCTCCCATGTTCATGTATTGGCATGAATTAATATTGCTAAATGGCCATACTACCAAGAGCAATATATAGATTCGATACAATTGCCACCAAATTAGCCAAAAAATTCTAAGCTAAAGGGAATCACAATACCTGTCTTCGAATTATACTACAGAGCTATAGTACCAAAAACTACATGGTAATAACATAAAAACAGACACACAGACCAATGGAATAGATTGGAAGGCACAGAGACAAACTCACACATCTACAGTTATGTGATCCTTGACACCCTTTTTAAAAATAGTGCTGGAAAAACTGGTTATCCATATGTAGAAGAATAAAAATCCCTTATCTCTCACCCTGCTCCCAGCACCAAAAAAAAAAAAAAAAAAAAATCAACTTAAAATGGATCAAGGACCTAGGAATTAGACTAGAAACTATGCAACTCCTAGAAGAAAATGTAGGGTTAACACTCCTGAACAGAGGCACAGGCAAACCCCAAATGCTCAGGAATTAGTACCACGAGTTAATAAATGGAATGGCATCAAATTAAAAAGCTTCAGCACTGCAAAGGAAACAATTAGGAATGCAAAGAGAGAACCTAGAGAATGGGAGAAAATCTTTGCTAGTTACTCTTCTGACAGAATTAATACCTAGAATATATAAAAAACTCAAATTTATCACCAAAAAAGCAAATAACTCAATAAAGGAGTACATGAATTAAACATACTTCTAAAAGGAAGAAATGTAAAAAGGCCAAAAATGAATGAAAAAAAATGCTCAATATCATTAGCAATTAAGGAAATAAAATCAAAACTACAGCGATTTAATCTCACATCGGTGAGAATGGCAGCCATCAAGAGTACAAACAATAGGTCAGGCACAGTAGCACATGCTTGTAATCCCAGCGGTTTGGGAGGCTGAGGCAAGATGATTGAGAGTTCAAAGTCAGGCTCAGTAACTTGGTGAGACCCTGTCTCAAAATAAAATATTTAAAAGGGCTAGGGATGAGGCTCAGTGATTAAGTATCCCTAGGTTCAATCCCTGGTACCAAAAAAAAAAGAATACAAAGAATAATAAATGCTGGAGAGGATGTGGAGAAAAAAGGAACACTTTTACACTGATAATGGGATTGTAAATTAGTACAACCACTATGGAAATCAGTATGGCAGTTCTTCGAAAGACTAGGCATGGAACCATCATGTGACCCAGCTATACCACTCCTTTATATTTATCCTATAGGGATACATGTATGTCCATGTTTACAGCAGCACAATTCACAATAAGCCAAACTATAAAACCAGCCTAAGTATTCATCAATGGATAAGGAAAATGTGGTATATATTTACACAATGGAATTTTATTCAGCCTTAAAGAAAAATGAAATTATGTCATTTGCAGGAAAATGGATGGAACTGAGGACCATCATGTCAAGTGATATAAGCCTAACTCAGAAAGTCAAAAGTCATTATATTTTCTCTCATGTGGAAGCTAGAGAGGAAAACAGAAAAGAAAGAGGGTGTGTGTGTATGTGTGTGTGTGTGGGGGGGTCTCATCAAAATCAAAGGCAGATCAGTAGAGGAGGAAAGGGACCAGGGATGGAAACAGGGGGAGGGGAGGATAAATGCTGAGGAGTGATACTGGCCAAATTACATCATACTGTGAGCATGTATTAATATGTAACCAAGAGTCTCTTCATTAGGATTTTACACATCCCCAAAAATGTAACTAGTCAGATAAGTGGTAGAATAACTTTAAGAGAAACAAAGGCTACATTTCCTATGTATTCATTAGTACCTCGTAGTATGGAACTGTTCAAAGAGTTACACGATATTAGTTACGTAAAAGTTTACAAAATGCATGAGAAAGTCTCCCTTGTAAGAAGCTAAATACCATATTAATTACACTGGCAGCAAAGAGGGAAAAGAAAAATTACATAGAACACTGACACTTTAAGGTGAATTCTCTAATGAAGACCCCATCCACTAAAAATAAAAAAAAGAAATTTAGAAAAAGAAATTTTAGTTAATGCATATACAATATATATGTTGCAATTAAAGTGTGAATACAAGGTAATCCAAGGTTTTAGATTCTAAGAGAATTTTTAATTCATAAGATTTCTAAGTTGAAGTACAGTCAATATTCAGAATGAAAAGTTAATTTCTGTTCTTTCTTGACTCATGTTTAAAGTCAAATCACTGAATAATTTCAACATTTGAATATGCTTATCTAGTACTATTTTCTCTTAAAAGATTCTATAAATGGAGTAACAACTCTGTGGATACTATGACAAGGAAAAATATGGGTTTAAAGGTCACAGGCTAGAATGCCGGATTCTTGGATTTTTGAGAACACATGAAAGAAAAACAGAGGACCTGCCAGCACTTTTAGGTGCCCCAAACACACTAAGCTCACCTACCACTCCCTACAGGGCCTTTGGGGCTTTGCTGGTGTGAACAGTATGTTCCACTGCAAAACAAAAAACTTCCAATTCAATAATAGATTAAGACCTCTTTCCCAGAAAATGTATTTTAAAATGAGTCAGATTTTCCCACAGAAAATATGTTTAAGAAGATAATCATATTCTTGAGTAAGGATCTAATTAAGCAGTTCAGTATAAACATGTCTAGTAACACTACACTTAACTATTACTTGAAAGATGTGGGCATTAGCACACTTACTAAAGTAGGTAACATATAATTGTTCGTGATAACCAAAAGCAGAAAAATTTTATAAACTGCATAATTTATACTTCCTATTTTCACAGCGAACAAATGCCATTAATGAGAAATTTGGGAGCTTCTGTTTGAGTTATCTCATGACTTAACAGTATCACCACAACATGAATGGAATGTATATGATTGGCACGAGGAAGTAATTTTTACTAAAAGATATAAATCTCTTTGTGGCTTTCATTGTCAAGTCTTAAAACTGTGATCTCACAGCCAAAATGTAGTACACTTCATAAGATGGTATGCAAAATCAAGCATTTTCATATTGGTCACACATCTTACATGAAATTTAATATTAAATGGCCTACACAACAAAAACCAGAGTTTTAAAAAATGCTTTCTACCAATTTTCAGCGTTAATGATTACTCTTTTCATGAAGAGAAATTATACCTACATAAATAGTCTTTTTCAAACCATTTTTTCAAGTACTACACCACAATCTGCTGCAAAAACAGCAGTAAGTCTTTTACAAACCACAACAGTCCCCACTGGTCTGCAGATTGGCAGCCTCGCCCTTTCTTTCAGACCACACACTAAAAAAGAGTCTGGAGACCCAAGGAAAGGCTGCCAAGGGTCAGGAAGCCAACAGGTCAGTCTGCATATAACTTGCTGAGCCAGCTACTGTGGTGTGGATGTGGTCGGCCTGTGCTGGAAGCTCAGCACTCAATGGCTGATGGTTGAGGAGAGGTGTTGAGACCTTCTTCAGAGGGGCCTGGTGGGAAGTAACTGGGTTAGGAACTAGTAAGTGGAAGGAACTAATATACATTTCATGGGACCCTAGTTAGTTCTCAAGAGAGAGTTGTTATAAAAGAGCGAGACCAGGATGGGGTTGTGGCTCAGTAAAGCGCTTGCCTGGCACGTGTGAGGCACTGGGTTCAATTCTCAGCATCACATAAAAATAAATAAATAAATAAAGGTATTGTGTCCAACTACAACTAAAAAAAAGGAGCAAGACTAGTCCTCTCCCTTGGCTTCCTGTCTTGCCTGTGATCTCTGTCACATGTTCCTACCATTGCAATACCATCTACCATCTGCTGAGGGAAAAAAGACTCACCAGGGCCAAGGAATTGCCAGTGTCATGATATTGGACTTCAGAACTATAAGCTAAAGAACCCTTTTCTTTACAAACTACCCAATCTCAGGTATTCTGTTACAGCATTGGAAAATGGACAGATAAAAGTATACTAACCTAAGATGAATGACTTTAGGCCAAGGCCTGGCACTAAAGAAAGTCAAACAACACCACATTTAGGTTTTTACTCAAACTCTTGATTTTCTATGAATTATCATAACCTGCATTAAAATGTAAATACCAACATTCCTTTTAAGATGAGCTTACCTGGCAATATTATCACAAATTCCATGGCCTCCAAATTTTGCAGTTTCTACAGGGGCACCTGGCTTTCGTACCATGATTTTGAGAGTCAAACGTTTGCCCTTCATGCTAGCAGCTTCAAGTCGCCTTTGAATTTCTTCTGAAAGATTCAGAAGGAAAGCTTCTGCCTCTTTTGGCTACAGAAAGACAAACGTGGAAAAACTCCCATGTTATTTTCTTATATGCCTAATCATTCTTTTCAAGTATTTTAACTGTAATATTGAGTTAGAATGCTATTTCCTATCCTAAGCATATATTAAAAATAAACATTTTCATTACCTTGTTATATGTTAGGTAAAAATACCTTCCCAATGAAGCAAAATTAAAGGATTTTTCCCCCTTCAGTACCGAGGATAAAACCCAGGGCCTCATGCATGCTAGGCAAGCACACCACCACTGAGCTACATATCCAGCCTTTTTTTTTTTTTACTCATTCTGAGACAGAATCTTACTGGCCTCAAGTTGCCCAGGTTGGCTTTAAACTTGTGGTCCTCCTGCCTCAGCCTCCCAAGAAGCTGGGATTACAGGCATGTGTCCCCCAACCCAGCACCATTTCCATTCTAAAGGAAATGGGAAGCACTGAGTTCCAAAGGGCAGGCATTTATCAAATTCCAAATCTTTACGAGGTGTTGGGAGGGAAGAGGGAGTTTCTCATCTATATTCCAGAGAGATAATCAACCCAAACATGTATTTTAAAAGAAAGCAAAAACTCAATCACCTGTACCACTACTTTCTAGATGCATGAATAAGTCAGAGGAAACCTACTTTAACTCAAAATTTAAAATATTCAACACTAAAAACATTTTTCTGGTCTTTTTCTTTCACTGGAAATTGAAATAATTATAATCACAAATCTTTTTTGACCCCCAAAGTATAATTTTTTAATATCCTTCCCAAAGATCAGAATTCCCTGGGGTTCTAACTTAGCATGTACTGTCTCACAAAACTTTTTTGAGGTTTAAGATATAATTTCAAGCTAAGAGTGTTATGGTTAACTGGAAGGAAAGGACTATGTGAAAATATTAACAACATAAAGTAAAATGTTACATGATCAGTACCTGAGTAAATCTTATTCCATAGTTGATTTCAGCTGAAATAGATTTTCTTTCCTTTTCAGTTCGAACTGGTCTATCATCCAAACCACGGCAGAACCTGTAAAGCATTTGACCTGTTTTGGGACCAAATTCTCTTTGGAGTTTTGCCATGGTCATATACTGTAAGTCTCCACAAGTTTTAATTCCCAAAGATGTCAACTTAGATTCCATTGAACGTCCAACTCCTAGAAAAGGGAATATATGAAGTTCTTCAGTTATGTAGGTCAAACTATTAAAATAATTTTATTAATGGAAAATAGCCAACATGTCAAAACAATTTAAAATTTAAGTGTCATCAAAAGGATGTAATTTATTTGTGACAAGCAAGATTGGTATCTAATCCACAAAATCAACTAATTAAGAAAGATTCCTGTTTAAATGAGGCTACAGTACAACTTACACACTTTCAGTCACCCACAGTGTTAGCGACTGTACCGTGATACTGGTAATTTTAAAAATTTCATGATGGTTTCAGCCATGTTTTCTTTAATGGGTAACAAAACAAAAATTTGTAAATATAGGCCAAAATCCAAAACAGTTTATTTCTATCATATTGGACAATAGTAGCAACAGTGACCTGGGCTTGAAGGTTTCTAAGCAACATATTGGTGGGGGGAGAAGGATAGACCTCCTACAATTTTATCAAAAGAATAATATCCCTGAAGAGGTAGTATCTACCTTCCTAGAATGGGCCGGGTTTCAGGATCCCCACAATCTTTTTTTTTTTTTTTTTTTGAGAGAGAGAGAGCGAGAGAGAATTTTTTAATATTCGGCGGACATAACATCTTTATTTGTATGTGGTGCTGAGGATCAAACCCAGCGCCGCACGCATGCCAGGCGAGTACACTACCGCTTGAGCCACATCCCCAGCCCCCCCTACGTTCTTTACTATAAGATACAGGGTACAAGGCTTGTATCTCACCCAAAAGATGCTGATGAGTTCTGCGGCTCTAAGTTGGGATCTTGGTTTTCCTCCATTTGTCCTTAGCTTTATAAAGGTATGTACATCTAGGAATGCCTTTCCTAGAAACCTGAATTGTGTTTCTTATTAAAATGATTCAACACACTAGGCATGGTGGCGGAAGCGGATAATCCCATCCACCTGAGAGGCTAAGAGAGGAGGATCTAAGTTTAAGGCTAGCCTCTACAACTTAGTAAAACCCTGGCTCAAAATAGGTAATAAAAAGGGTTGGGGGGGTCTCTTAATTCTCTCTTCTTTCCTTCTCTTTCTGTCCATGACACCCTCCCCCACTTCTTTTACCCTATCTCCTTTCTACCTCTTTTTCCTCTCTTCTCATTTCCCCATTTCCTTCGGTGCCTGTCTGCCTTTCTGTGAATGCTGAGAGAGAATGAGAAAACAACTAGCCACAGGAAAACTAAAATGCAGCTAAAAACAAGTTTCTAAAATTCAGCAATATGAGGTCTATAATGTACACAGAGTGCTAGCTGAAAGCTGGGAAGGGGTTCAGGGAGTTACTGCTTAATGGCTCTGGGGCTTTCTTCTTCTGGACTTGAATATACTGAATACCATGAAAATGGACACTTACAGACGGTTAATGTTATGTGAGTTTTGCCTCAATAAAACAAGTTTGTTTTTTTTTTTTTTAATAGTGCTGGGGGTATAATTAATTGTATGTCCTTGGGTCCAATTTTTATTATCTCTAAAGAACAAACAAAAACCCCCACATCATCAAATAAATATTCTCTATCAATAAAGAAAATAGCATGTGTGTTTCTATTCTTCTGTAGGATATTATTAAAAAAGAGCTCAGTGTGCAGCCTACTATCTTGCTCAACATGGCTGTGTTAATTCTGGCTCCTATGCCCAGTGTGATCTTCAGTGGTAGGAACAACTAGCCAGGCCAGGTTCTGCCAGAACCTCTGAAGCAGTGACTATGACACAGGGGGGAGGTCAGTATGGAAGTGGAACAGACAAATTAAAACAAATTGATTCACTCCCCAGTGGAAGCTAACTGGAAGGTACCCCCCCAAAAAAACATATCTTGATAAACCAAGAAGATATCAATATAGAATTTCAAATTTTCTTTTTCATGGCACAATATTATATTAAAAAAAGATTATAGAACTATGAAAAGCACTAATGAATACCTTTATAGTAGATAAAAGTTTAAAAAAATGTGTATTTACCTGGTAGATTAATAACTAGCTGACCTCTGATAAAATCATCTACTTCTTCAGATTTTAGGTGGTACTGCCCATCTGGTTTTGCTTTTCTAGTTGCCATTCTAGCCAGGAGAATATTAGAACCTATAAAGTTGAGAAGAGAAAAAGTATTGTTCAAAAATAGCTACAATTACCTTTAAAATTTCTTGACAAAGACACTTAAGATTAACTATCAAATTTCTAAAAATAATAAAAGTAAATACAAATCATTTTGAACAAGTATACACCTTGCAATTTTGGTAATGTGAATCTGGCTAAGATGGCTGGTGGATGTAAGTGTTTTTCTCTCTTCTAAAACACATACCATTCCAACATCTATTGGGATGTAGGAGAGAGAAAGCAACCCTGAGTGTTGGGGGTTTAATAGGAACTGAGGGCAATGAAGAGAAAGTAGTTCATTTTCCCAACCATAAGATCCAGCATAGGTAGTAAAATGAGGCCACTGGATAGGGCAAAGAGAAAACCCAAACAACCAGGACATGTGTCATGGCACTGAGGACAGGAGAGTCTTCAAAACACAGCTAGAAATGGGCAGTGCATCCTGATGTGTGGTGTGGACCAAGAAGGTGGAGGAGGGAAAGGCTACTGAGAAGGGCCAGGGAGCTATGGAGCTTGGCTGATGGGCAAACTTTTCCCTGAATGGCATCTCCACACACTAGAGAAGACCTGCACCAACAACATATGGAAGACTTCTGTAACACTATATATTTTACTAGGGTAAATACAGAGATTCACAAGGAGTTCTAGAAAGTCACACCAAAATAATAAAAGTGGTGCATTTCTGGGAAGGGAAAAGGAAACGGAGTGGAATATCAAGTGAGATTTAGCTTTAATTATATGTTTAAACTTAAAAGAATGTTATTTGTACTTTAAAAATAAGTACAATTTAAAAACAAAATAACTAAAATCTGTCTGACACTGGAATACAGAAGGCAAGACCTAAAGGAAATACCAAAAAGGATCTTTGGACAAATAGCAAGGAATAAAATGACACACTTGAGGGGCTAGGGTTGTGGCTCAGCAGTACAGCACTTGCCTTGCATGTTGAGAGTCACTGGGTTCGATCCTCAGCACCACATAAAAATAAACAAAATAAAAAAATTGTGTCCATGTACAACTAAAAAAAATTTTTTTTTTTAAAAAGTGACACACTTAATACACTAGCCAGAATTAATACACTGCCAACTTATTACTCTTTTTGGGTTTTTTTGGTACTAAGGATTGACTGAACCAGGGAGCTTAACCACTGAACCATCTCCAGCCCTTTTTATTTTTTATTTTGAAACAGGGTCTTTCTGAGTTGCTGTAGCTGGCTTTGTATTTGTGATCTTCCTACCTTAGCCACTGGAATTATAGGCCTGCACTACCACACCTGGCTAATCATTTTATTATTCTTAACATCCTGGGATATGGTGACATCTTAAAAATCTTGCTGGCCGAATCTCTTTTATGCCTTGGGAGAGACCACCCTCCCAGGACTAGCTAAACTCCTAAAACGGTAAGCCACTTACCTGAAAACACACCTTTCACATGTAGGCCAGCCATCCCTACCTTCCTCCTTATCAAACTCTCACAGAGCAAGGTAATAGTTTCTGTCTGTTCCCTTATATCCCCCCGGTGCCAGCTACCAAGCAGTTAGAGACCACTCCCATAGTGAAAAACTGCCAGGTTAGACAAACAGCTAATGCTAAGCTGCGTCCTCAGCCCTGCCTGGCTTTTCCTGCAGAAACCTTAATGAACACTCTGGCCTCAGTTTTCTGCTGGTTTTCCTACTTCTGCCTCTTGACCATCCTGGTGCTTCCCTGGTGGCCCCACTGTATGGTGGTGGTCTGGCTCTGGAGAAATGGAAGCAACCAATTCTTTCAATGAGATTAGCCTCTCCTTGTCACTCAAACACCTGTGTAAATCCCAGGGGTAGTAAGGAGACAGGAACTTCAGAGTTTCAGCATGAGGATAGAGGCCTTATTAGTGGAAGAGACAACGGCAAACTAAGAGATTATCATCTCTACTTCCAAGCCTGTGGCATATATACAGTAGAGCAGGGACAGACGGGCTCCACCTGAGATCAGGGCAACAGGGCTATTTTGACAGTAGCTACTGAGAAGTCGGAGAAAGGAAGAGTGACGCATAGAAGCACAGGTATGACGAAGAATTCCAGAGAGCACACCTGGAAGTGTTGACAAAAGAAGTACAGGTGGTCCAGGCGTAGTGGCACACAGTAATCCCAGTTATTTGGGAGGCTTAAGAGAATAGGATCACTGATTTAAGGTCAGTCTTAGCAACTTAGTGAGAACCTGTCTCAAAATAAGTAATAAAAAGGGCTGAGGATATAGCTCAGTGGTAAAGTGCCCCTAGGTGGAATCCCTAGTATCAAAAAAAAAAAAAAAAAAAAAAAAAAAAAAGGACAGGGGGTAGAAGAAGCTGAAGAAACAAAATTCAAGGCTCAAAACAGTTGGAGAAGAGTCAAAAGAAACTGGAATTAATAAGAACACTGTCATTTGGGGTGACTCTCAGTACTGAGACAGCCAGGAATTATGTGTTTCAGGAAACTGAATAACAGAGAATAACAATACGCATACCTAACGCTAAATTCCACATCACCACCCTGCTTTAATACTATTTTAGCTCTGTGCCTTTTTTTTTTGGGGGGGGGGGGGGAGGCCACAAATATAATTAGACTTTTCCACTTTTTTAAAAAAATATTTATTTTTTTTTTTAGTTTTAGGTGGATACAATATTTTTATTTTTTTTTTAATGTGGTGCTGAGGATCGAACCCAGTGCCTCACATGTGCTAGGCGAGGCACTCTACCACTTGAGCCACAACTCCAGCCCCTAGACTTTTCGTACTTTTGAAGAACAAGAATTATTATATCTTGTTCACTGCAAAGATATTCTATCATCAACCATTCACTTGCATTCCCAAACCTTTTACCTGCAGCTGCAAGCAATGCTAAAAAATATCAGAAGGGAGAGGCCCACCTATGCAACATGTAGCAAGCAAGCTAATAAAAACTCTAAAGGTTAAGTGTTACTCAAGGATCCCAAACCAACTATTTTGAGTACAGTTAAAAATATAAGATAAGCCAGATACTAACCAATTCCAACAGAAGCAGCACATTTAGTCTTGTCTTTGATTTCCATACGGATGGCATTTGCAAATTCATCAGGACTGAGTTTGGTCTCTGCAAGGATTTCAGTGATGTCTACCAGTGCTTCATCACAACTGACAGCTTCGATATTGTGAGTGTAGCTATCAACAAAAAGCAAAGGCAATGAATCACAGCCAGGGCACCATCTGGTAGACAAAAATGTTGCAAAATAAAGTATACAAACCACTGATTAGCTTTGGAACAGCATTTAAAGTGCTTTCTACTTGATAACACCAACATTTCTTTATTTGGGATCTTAAGGACCACTGTGATTATAACTCACTTACCATTTAGCACAGAACCCCGACATATAGATGCCAGATAACTTAATTTATCCTTTTATATTTTCTTTCCCCTACTAAAGTAAGCTCTCACAAAGGCAAGGATTAAAAATTATTTTTCTCAGTGAGATCAGTATTTAGCAGCCATTTGTATTAAATGGATACAGATGCTCAAAATAAAGCCTAAGAAAGAAGCAGCAGAGGTGAAGATGGAGACAAGAAGCGTATCTCCTCAATGCCACGCACGGTGGTACATGCCTATAATCCCAGCTACCTGGGAGGCTGAGGCAAGAGGGATCACAAGTCTGAGGCCATCAGAAGCACTGGAACAATTTTAGCAATGCAAAAATGTCCCTTGAAAATGAGTTTTTCCTTTTAAAGAAAGTTGTCAAAGTGGGATGATGAAGAAAGGGCTTCTAAGAGAAAGGTCTAGCAAAAGTGACCCTGACAATGCTAAAAACAATACTACCACCACCCCCCAGTAAAAAAACAAAAACACTGGACTGTCTTTATAACAGAAAAAGAAGTAGGAGATAACACACATGGAAATGATTATATTATACATGTACCTCGCCAATGTTTCATACATTGTTCGTGCAACTTCTTTGTAAGCATGAAAATCATACGGAACAGCTTGAAGATTGGGACAAAGCTGTTTAGCGTGCCCAAAAAACATTCCATTCTTAATGCCAACTTGTCTAGAGAGAAAACAAAACATAATGGTGGTTATACTAGAAGGCCTCAAACTAAAAGCCAAAATTGAATATGTTAAGTTCTCCCCATGCCACTAATATAAAATTTCCATTTATCTCCCTTCTTATTAGGGCTTAACAATAGGCATTTAGAAAATGTACAGGTTTGTTTTCCCCCCAAAGGAAAATGACACAATTGTCTGTCTAGTGTAATTTATATATCTCTTGTCTGAATCTGAAGACTTCTCCTAAGACTCAACCTCTGGCCCCTTTGCAGAGTTGCCAGCATGCCATATGCTGGTGCTGGTGATATCACAACCACCACAGAGCAGGAATATGCCGTCAAAAAGGTTTTCTTCCCCTAATACATGGCACGGTTTGGCCAGGGTTCATTCCCCCAAAGACAAAGAATATAAACGCAAGAACTACACAAAACAGTGCTATGTGACAAACAGACAAAATGTACTCATCCTATTACCACCCAATTCCCAATTGACCAATTCCATGCTCCTGAAGTGGCTCCACAGTGGTTGAGATGCCAACAGCATTGTATATGGTAGGACATCACTCTGGGCAGGAGCCAGGGTTCCAGAACTTTGAGGGACCTAATTGAAAATGGTAAATTTTAAATCTACTGTGTGTCTCAATGCCCCACATTACCTTTGATATTTGGAGCATTCAGCACAAAACTATAATTATGGAATTATACATAATTAGTAAAATTCCACTTTATCACTCTGTAAATGAATCAAGAAAAAAATATTATAGTAAAACACAAGCAAAGTAATAAGAGCAATGTTTCACCAGATTACATAATACTATAATACAGTATGGTCATGGTTATCCTATACATTCACTCAAATTATTTACTAAGAGCTTACTTAGTATGGAGATGTGCCCCATTAGAGAAACAAATACAAACAGTCTTCAATTACTCCAAGGCCTCTGGCACTCTCCCATCATTCAGATGAGAGAGCCAAGAGGGAAGAATCCTCCAACCGCATGCATTTTTTAATGTTTACAAAAACAATAACAATCTATCTCACTGTTAAGACTCTAGTAAATAAAAAATATCTAATAAGAAGGAAAAAATGATAGTAAAGGAAGGAATGACTGTAAAAGAAAATAGCAAAGGAAAGAACTTTTCATTCTCTCAACAAATACTTTTGTCTCAGGTATTCTGTAAGTTGCTAGGTAAAAGATATGTTTAGTGCTCATATACAGTCACTCCAATTATTTTGTAAGGTCATAAGGATGACCCTGCATTCACCCAGCAAAAGAAGAATTACAGTAAATAGACCTTGCTTATTAATGTAGGGAAGTGTATATACAATAGTTTAGATGTGTATATGAAAACATAATTTAGAAAAGTTAATCAGAAATGATTAAAGCAAATAAAAAAAGATCTGGCATTAAAAAGGGTAAACTTGAAGTAATAATTATGTGAGATGTAAAGGTTCAGCAGGTAAAATCTAAACTTACAAATTAATGAAATTACTCATTTTTAAAGAAATGTGTTACAGTTCCTATAAATATCATGTTCTTATAATTTCACTTTCTAAATTTCCATTTATACAAAAATTTTCAGTCACATTAATTAGAAAAATATAGTACCTTTTAAGGTACTTGTGCACATTTTGCAAAAAGAAAAGATTAACAATCACTAGACACTACAAAGAATTTACAAACAAAACCAAAACCAAAAAGATTTCCCATAAGTAAGGGAAGCAAAATACTTTGAATTGATGCCTGGGAAATTAACATTTTTTGCACAGAAAATAAACGAATACAGATAATTACAAAAACTTTTGAAGTGACCCTTAACAAAATTAGATTAGTCTATTTCTCCCAACTAGAATTCAATGAAGGATAAATTACCAGCCCTGTACTTGGTAACTATATGCTAGTTTACTCCTGGGCTTAAAGTGCAGACAGCATACTCCTTGCAATAGGCTTTGCTCAGACAATGGTATTTGGTGTTGGATCAGACAATGTGTGTGTGTGGGGGAATCAACCATCAATTCATTAATACTGTCCATTCCACATACTATTCATGTCACTAGTAAGAAAGAACAGTAAAGGTCCTTACAAAAGCACCTGAAAATAGAGATTTAATTTAAAAAACCTATGATTCTAGAGTATTAGTCTATCATTACCTACATTCATCCACATATCTACTTTCTCACTTAGTATGTACAATTATTCTTTTTTAAAAAATATTTTTTTAGTTGTAGTTGGACACAATACCTTTATTTTAATTTGTTTCTATTTGTATGTGGTGCTGAGGATCGAATCCAGTTCCTTACACAAGCTAGGCGAACGCTCTACCACTGAGCCACAGCCTCAGCCCCTGTACACTTATTCTTTATGGTTAATTATGGGTAAAACTTCTAAAATTAATGCATACTATGACATAGTCTAACTTTTAATGATTTATCTCATCTCATATTCACATTCCATTCTTGGCAGACTTCAGATTAGGTCATGTCTATCAAAAACTCATCAAAGCACAGAACTGTGATGACCATCTAATCCCCTCTCCAATCTCAGAAACATTTCTCTGATGCAATTATTAATTATACTTGCTTTTTAATAAATCTTTTCACAAAAAGAAAAACACCTGTTGGATAGTCATAAATAAAAAGGTATTTAGAAAATAATTTCTACTGGTTATTAAAACATTAGGAACAGCCTTCTAGAAAAGGGAAAATTAGAATGAAAGGACAAAAATCCCATAGCTACAGACTTAATTTATTTTGCAACTTACATGCAAATTCATATTTATCTCTTTATGCATGTCTTTAAAATAAACATTTGCTATTTAATTGGCACTTAAATGGCTTCCAGCATAGTATCTGGGGCTCATATATTGTCACCCCACTGCTGCTATGTGGGTCAATACGAATGCAACTCCAAACACCAGAAGCCCAGCACTTAGATACACTTAACCTAGCTGGTGAAGTCCAAGGCCATCAGAAACTGAGAAGGCTTCTGCCTCCAGGCAGCCATTGTACTCCCTGTCTAGCATCCATCTAGCAGGCATCCAGGAGTGCTGCTGCTGTGTCCTTGCAGAGGCAGCATGGAGAGGGAGAAACTCTTACTTCACCAACCAGCAAAACCCAAGGACATATTTATTTTTGGGTGTCACTGCATCCGACAGATACTCCACACAGCTATCTAGCCACTAAAAGTACAAGTTACCCTTCTAAAACCAAGTGGGTGAAGAAAGATCAACCTGTTGAGCACCACACAAACTCAGCTCTGAATTGCCTGTGCTAATAAAGAGCGGTACCAACAATCCTAAATGCTTTTGGTATTTCACTTAATTCTTATTTGTTAAAATAAGTTTAAGTCTCTGGCCACATTATCAACTGGCAATGAAAAAAAAAAAAAAAGGTTCTATTAATGAGAAAGGCAAAGTTAGCCTGGGAATACTAGGTTGACAGTCATAATGGAAAAGAACTGAACATATTTTATATTTTACATTATGCATGTTTGAACTTTTTAATTTGAATATCATATTAATAAAACTATCAGCAAATTTTTAAACACACTATTCTGATTAGATAATGTTGAGCTCAAACATTTTTTCTGTTCAGATTAGACTGGCTTGAAAAGCCCCAACTTTGAATGAAAATGAAAAAAATATAACTGATTTAAGGCTGTTCTTTTAATTATTGAATACTTAGAGTTATCATCAATAATAAATGTATGCTGTGTTATAAAGGCAAAAATGTCTGGGTTTAGTTATCAGAATAGGAAAAATAGATTCCTTTTTCGATTAATTAATTTATTACTCCCTCTATTTTCACAACCACTGTAATTGATTATTAAAACATGATTTTTTTAATGTTTAAGGAATATACATATGTGTGTTCCTCTTTGTATTTAATCAGTTGATTGCAATAAGGATGTAAGATTACTATAAGATAAAGACCTACACACAAAGTTGGTGCTAATACGTTGACATTCTTAACATTTAAAAAAAAAATTTTAAGTTGTAGATGGACACCTTTTTTTTTTTTTTTAACATTTATTTTTTAGTTGTAGGTGAACACAATACCTTTATTTTATTTTTATGTGGTGCTGAGGGTTGAATCCAGAGACTCATGCTAGGCAAGTGCTCTACCTCTTCTCTACAACTCCAGGCCCACAATACCTTTCTTTAAAATTTATTTTTATGTGGTGCTGAGGATCAAACGCAGTGCCTTATACATGCTAGGCAAGTGCTCTACCACTGAACTACAACCCCAGCCCCACTCTTACCAATTTGAAGTGAGATGATTACTGGGTATAAGTGCATGAAATCATTTACTTCTGAAAAAGGCAATAGAGTTGTTTTTTGATACCAGGGATTTAACTCAGGGGCACTCAACCACTGAGCCACATCCCCAGCCTTATTTTGTATTTAATTTAGAGACAGTGTCTCACTGAGTTGCTTAATGCCTTGCTGCTGCTGAGGCCGACTTTGAACTGGTGATCCTCCTGCCTCAGTCTCCCAAGCAGCTGGGATTACAGGTGTGTACCACTGTGCACAGCTTGGCAATAGAGTTTAAATAACGACAAACCAATTATCAGCTTTGTTACAAGGGGTTTCCCTTATCTATAAAAGGGAAGATTTCAGTAGATAAATATGAAGGCTCTCTCCCATTTTAAAAATTTTTTAATTCTTTAATTCCATGCTTTAAGAGAGAATAAAAATGACAGTGCCCAATTTCTTTTGGTTTCCACTGCAGGACCTATAGGTTCATAAGGGATTGTTAAATTGTTTAAAGTTATTTAGCATGGAAGATAGGGGTAGATGAGAACAGAAGGAATTAAGGTTAAAAACACTTCATAATGTTTTGTGACATTCAAATGAGAGGTCTGACATTTCCAAATCTATTTCCAAAAATTATATAAAAATAATTAAATCAACTATTCATTAGGAAAGACAACACACTTAGTATTTCTACATACCTGGCTTCATAACTACAAGAAGCAATTTCAGCCTTTGACAAAACAGAATCAATTCCATTTATTTGTGCAGAATCTTGATTCTCCCACATTGATGAATCTGGTATATCTGCTTTAAAATAACAAAGTTTAATGACTATATGTTAAAAATTGATTTTTCTTAACTTTTATTCAAGAAATTTATTTTTCATTATTTTAAATACAAATGTTTAGTAAAATCCTAATATGGTTATATCTACTTGTTTTTATCTCCTTAATAAAATAAAATTCTGTAACCTAAAATTACTTGCTTCCATTGTATTCTTCAACAGCAGTCAGATAAAAACTTATAATAACAAATTTAAAGTGTCCTGTTTTAATAATAGAAATTTTTTTAAAATACACTGAGGTAAATATAACTATCCTGTAACCCGCAGAAGGTAGACAAGGATGAAAAGTCATCAGGGAAACAAACTCCCCAACTACAGCCTTAGAGAGACTTCACAGCTCTTCGTAGTGGGGGAAAAGTTAAAGGAAAAAACGCATTTCTCAGAACGTTTCTGTTTCCTAAAAAAACTATCTGCAGAACTTAAGGCAAATTAATATGATCAACAATCATCAAATTCCTACCAACCATTTGATCAAACAATAATTGAATAGGCCAAAACAATAAAGAGGTTTCATCCTAAATTTAAGCTTTTCATTTTATATACACATCAGGTAAAAGAGCTTCATGGCAGTATTTCCCCTTTCAGGCAATTCTACTTTTGGTATAAAAATGCACATTCAAGTAAAAACCATTCAAGTGTGATCAGAGTTTCTACTGCTTTACAGAACACAACTCTAGCCTAATATATCCAAACCAAAGTTACCACTTTACACAAGAACATAAAAGCACAGTCTAGAAAATCTACTGGTTACATGCCACTTTAGTTCCTTTTCCACATTCCCCAGTAATTAACAGACTAAAATACAACTCCAGTCATGGTTCTCCGGATAATACTATTAGGTTACAAGAAGAATATGCTGTAAACACACACCACATTCTACAAACGCAATCTCAGTCATATCTCTTCTATAAACAACAACAACAAATGGTCAGTAAACTAAGTCCAAAATATACCACTTCCTCTAGTTCTATAAAGCCTATTTTGAGTATCTTGTAACAATACATACCTAACAAATCCTACAATTCTGTTTATTTAAGAGACTCAATCTTCCATAAAAACTCAGCCAAGTTAATGTACCACCAGAAAAACACAGCAAGGTATTTGGCTTCATACGCTAAAATAACTCTTCCTTGTTTAACTGGTAATCATTAACGTCTTATACCTAACTATGCAACTCATCCGAGGCACTTCTGGACTGGAACACCCATGTACGCACAGCATAAATGCAAATCACACTCATGACTGGCATCTTAATAGGGTCAAATCCTATTTGCATCAAAAAATAAAAACAGTAAAGTATGCAATGTGAGCTAGGTTTTCTGATAAAAAGTGAGTAACATGTCACAGTTACAAATTCAAGACAGAATGCAGAGCAGATTATCCAGTGTTTCTATAACAGTCCATTATTCTAATCTGTAAGAATTTCAGGACTGTCAGTAAGACAGTCCAACAGAGGGTGCTACTAGACCAAAACAAGGAGTATGGAAGCTTGAACAGCCACAGTAATGTAACCATGAGTTATGCCTTAAAAGTTGGGGAGTTATGTGACTATTTTACTGGGACTAGTTAACCTAAAATATTCATCTGGAAGTTATAGAAAGCTCATGCTTGAGGCAAGAACAGAGTGTGGTCCATGCGCCCCCAATGCCCTGGCCTGAGAGACAGCACCATCATGTTCCTCTTCACTGGGCTGGCTGACCTGTTCCACAGTGCAGCAGAGTGCGTGGGTCCCTCCACCAGCGGAGTGAGTTGCTTCATGTGAGATTCAGGGAAATGCAGGGACACACTGTCCTCACTGGAGGGCAAAGTAGAGAACTGCTCATCAAAACTTGACAAACTAGACGGGCACATGGAGAATGTGGAGGAACGGTTGGAGAAATCAGAGGCCAGGACCCAAGTCTGTGAAAAAGAAATCGCTGAGAATAAATCTATGACTAATATGACTTTAAAAACCGTTGTTCTTTAGAATGAAAACTGAAGCTGTTGAAGGGATAGAAAACATCTCCATCCCAGGAATCCAGGAATGGGGTAAAAGGCCCCAATCATGAAATCTAGTGTCTAAAAGGTTCCAAATAATGAGATCATCAATGAGACATCACTACCGAGTACTATTCAGGAAGCAGCTTCCAAAGGAAGTCACAGATGGATAAGATCCCCTGGTTACACTGGTCTAATTCATGTTTCTGAATATGACAATAAAGAAACCAAAGTTTCTAAAAAAGATTAAAGATGCTTATTTGTCCTAAACCTCTGCATAGACATGCAAGCCAAAACATTAGAACTGTTTACTTTTTCAAAAAAGAAGCCAAAGATTCTAATTCCTAAATTGATCCTCAATATTTTTTAAATTTTTGGTGTCATGTCTAATAATGACCCAGAGAAAGAAAGACTGGAGAATAACAAGGAAAGAGGAACAGAGGTATTGGAAAAAACAAGTTCTGAGCACAAGCTTAATTGCAAACTTACTTTATTATAATAAAGGACAATCTAATCCTTTCCTTATGTAATAAATATATTGGTAAGCTCCTAACAGGTCAAAAAGCTTAGGATATAAAAGTGAATGACATCAAGTTAAAGCAAGAGTATAACATCAAAGTATCATATTCATCTCTTCCAGTAAGAAAAAAATCTATTTTTGACAGTGTTCAATAGCAAGTGAAATTTTAAGTATTTGTCCTATTTTTTGCCTTCTGATATACCACCCACACATAGAGGTGAAGGGGATGTGTGTGAATTATAAAGGTCATTAAACATTATAAAAATCCAGTGGCTAAATTGATGAAGATAATTAAGTAACCAATGACAATATTCTGTTCATAAACAACGTATGGTCAGACAGTGATGAAAGGAAAGACAAAGGAGGACCAGCTACAGCTACTCCTAAGGAACACGTACCTGCCAAGGTCAAGCTCTAGATGTAGAGAGCTGAAATAAGGACATGTGTAGCAAACTCAAGTCCTCCACCCACCGAGGACTCTGAGCACTGAATAACCGAGTGATGCTACCGAACATATACACCTGGGATTGTTTTCTTCTTTTGACATTCAGAAAGCATTTACTAAGTGCCCAATATGTGACAAGTATGGTACACTTCCTTAGGCTACTTTCTTATTTTCTAGAACTGAAGATTTCATCTTTGTAACAATCACGTAGAAAATATAGAAAACAAAAACAATCTACTACAAAACCACACTAACAATACTTAGAAACTAACCATACCACAATACAAGTTCAATAAGAGCTACCCCAAGATCTACTCACGACACACAAAAGCCTACAATCTCAAAAATCTCTGCAAAGACTTAGATCAAGAAAAAATCCAAGAAAACTTGGAAAATATTGCACACACCAAGCATAAATGTGTTATCTACAAATTTTTTTTCACATTCATACCATGTAAACAGGTGACTAAACCAATAAAAAAGACTGTAATCCCAATAAAGGTCCTTAGAGCTGCCCACTCTCTTTCCTTTTGCCTTAATAGGGGTCTTTTCTAAAATGAGCCCAAAGTTTAATGACTGACAAATTAGGGAAATGAAAAAAATTGGGATAAAATCAAACTGCATGCCTTCTGTATCACTTGTATACCTACTTTCTGATCAATATTTTCCTGAAAGACTAATTTTTAAAAACTGGGAGCTTTGCAAGACATACATGAGGAAATTGATCAATGTTGAAGAAATTTCTAGACTTTTTCTCAGGGAATTTATGGGGGGGGCAATAAAAGATACATAAAAATCTTAGTATTTTGAGTAGTAAAATTTATGATTTTTGTTTATTAGTATCTAAATAAAAGCCAAAAGGGGCAAGAAAATGTTTCTCATATGAAACAGGTTCAATAAAAGACATGAAGAATTATTATTGGTATTTACATTCTTATTCCAATAAATTAAAGTTCTACTCTTTCTTATTCCTCTTCCTCATTTGAATCTTAACAAACTTCAGTGTTCTTACTGTGATGCAGGGGTCAAATTACTAGTAATTCAGTCTCAAGTCACATAAAAGTTTCTCAAGCATGTCCATAATTTTCATCCCCATCTTAATATATAAAAGCAAATAAATCACATTTTAAAAACAGTCTTCTCTCTGTTCCAGGAAAATATAACCATCCAATTCAACAAAGCCTAACTAACTACAAGCCAGTTATGTAGTATTCAGATTTTGTTTTGATTGAAAATGAAAAAGCTAGTTTCTGTAACTCTGCTTTCATTTCTAAAATGATATCAACAGCAAAATCCAGAAGTCGTCCACAGGAGCACTATGACTTCAAAGAGCTCATCTGTACCTGCTTTGCCTTTCAGGATTTTATTCTGGTAATATTGCCATTCCAGCTGGGGATTAGCTCCTGGACGCAAAGGTGCCCTTCCTGTGCCTCTGTTGCTAGTAACAGCCACTGGTTTTCCTGTAAGGAAAAGATTAAATTATTTTACATCTAAGTGCATAGAAATGATAAGAGCAAGTAAAGAAAAAATTTTCATATATTTTTAATATATACTCTTCTCCTTCAGGCATTAATCCCTTAAGAAATTAATATTACTATCAATCACTATGAAAATGTCATTTAAGTTCCTTAGCTCTCCCCTGAAAAGTAAACTACTGAAGACAACTTTGATATATTTATTTAACCTAAAAGCAACATCACTTAGCTTTCTAAGATTTCTTATGGTAGAAAACAGACAACTCAAACCAGATACTCAGATTAGAGGAGGGAGAGAAAGAAAACCTTAATATATGTATTTGTGTTATGTATGTATGTATGTATACACACACACACACACACACACACACACTTTTTATATTTCTGGTATCCAAAGAGCAGGTTCAACATCTACACTCATCTATTCAATTTTATAGTAAGAGAAATAAATTTGATTCATATGTATAGGATCTCAATCTGACCCTACCTCGCCCAAGCATAAATATAGTCTCTCAGTTTTTGCTTTAGTTAGAAAATTACTTTCACTTATCACTTCCTTTTCCATGAGTAACCATAATGTTGTAAAGCTTTAGCACAGATGATTTTTATATATTTATTAAATATAGTTGTTGTGAAGGGTACAAAAAGGGGAGACTAGGAGATAACTCAGTTGGAGAGCTTCTGATTAGCATGCACAAGAAAATACATTAAAAATTATTCCTAAGTTAAAAATCAAAATTTTAACATGTTAAAAATTCCTTCAGAACTGAAGCAGCATCTACCCATGACCAAGATAAAGCTTTGATATTAACCCAGAATCTTCTGTGCCATAATTAGGGATTCTTACGGAAGCGAAGAACTGGATCTCAGAAGAAAATGCTAATATAGCTCTCTGTTTTAGACAGAGATAACTACTGAAAAATCTAAAATACATGTTCTTAGAAGTAATGACTAGTTCACAAACATCTGAAATTTCATTAAAACAAACCCTGCCCAAGTAACTTAATATATTTTAGCTGTACTCAATACAAAATTATTCTACAACCAAAACACTGGCATGTTCACCTGCTTCAAGACTACTATCAAATTATTTGCACACAAGAAAGTATGCTGATCCCTGTGCCAAAGATACAGGTTACCATAAAATTTTCATTAACAAGTAGTATAAAATCCAGAAAATGCCCAAGGCAGGGCCCTGCCTCTATCAGTCTTAGAGGACATATCCCTCAGCTGAAAATGAATCCTCTTCATCTCTACCTGGAGAAAAGTTTCTAATTTCTCTTCACCTTACTTCTAGACAATACAATTCAGAAAGTTTGGAAGCAGGAACTGATTTTTGCCAAGGAAAATCTGAATAAATATTTTTCAAAGAACCCTTTGTTATCCCTTAGATTGAATACATACACACACAGACACACACACACACGTACGTACGTACACACATATTCACATTCGTAATAATATTTTCTTAATAAAACATAAACAAGAATACAGACCTTTGAGATCTGGTCTGTTTCTTATACCCACAGATACAAAGAAGCAATCCATATCAACATGCATTATACAGCTCTGATGTCTGGGTGAACTCAATACTGACATATTTCCTAGAAGGAAAAAGAGAACATTCAAACCCCAAACTAATTTTTCATATTAAAAAATTAGATCACGTTGACTTAGAAGTTGCACTTAAAAGATGTTTAAAAGGAAAATAAAGTCTTTAAAAAATATAAAATATATTACAGACTATTTCTACCATCTTAATAGGAGTGAAATCTGTTTCTTTAGCTCTGAAAGTACAGATATAAATTGATTTCTTGAACAATAATTTTAAATCAATTTTCGTGATACCATGGTATCTTTTCCTAATCTATATCCTAATAAAGTCAATAATTACAATAGTTTGTCAAAAAGTTTAACTTAAAATTATTTGTGTACTAATTATTTTATTAAAACTACCAAGCTCTTGTTCTAAGTAAACATACTCTAAGAATAGTCTATAAAACAAAGATCTGTTTACAAATGGAATTTCTCTCCTTGTGCCGGACTATAAATTTAGTTCTCCATCACATATATATCATTTGAGGAGATAAAAATGAATGTCCTCTCCTATGGACAATGGCTTCCAGTAACAATGAGCTACACAGATTCATTAAGAGTTATTTTAACCTACTATTTGGATTACAAAGAATATTAGGGTTATTTCCCTGGCCTTGCAAGATAATACAGATCCTGGAAATAAGAACCCTGAGCTTATAAAACTTTTGATCTGTTTTTCTACTGAGGGTTAGAATATTATAATAGGCTTCTAAAAACTTAAGACTCATCCCTTGAAAGAGTTCAGCCAGTCCATCTGCCAAAGTGTGAGTTTGACAGCATTTACCTAGTTCTATGTGCAAGGTACAGAAACTGCTCATTTTATCTTTGTTAAGCTCACAATCCTGTGAATCAAACATCATCAATTCCTATCATTCCTCTGCAGATGAAACTGAGACTCAGAGAGGCAAGTTGCCTAGTTCATGGTCCTACAGGAGAAAAATGGCAGAACCAGAGTTTGGATTCAGGCTAATCTATCTAACTCCAAAGCCACATACTTATTTACTACCCTCTATGTTACCTGGAGAAATAATTTGTAAAGCAAATTTTAACAATCACAATTCTGCTTTATGAAAGTATTAACACAATGCAAACAATGTAAAATAATGGTTTTAAACATCCAGTAAGCACAGAATGCATAAACCATATCAAATGCTATTATATAATGTAAAAACTTCTTTTTATTCTCATCTGTGGAACTAATTCATGAGGTTTCTTTGAAGCTTTCAAAATTAAATGACCTTCAGCAGTTTACAAGGTCAAGATACAAAGTAAGGATAACTGAATACCTATAACATTATTCTGAAATATTTGTAAGTTAAAAAAGCATTTTTTTAACTAAAATCATACAGTAAAATACCACAGGGGGGAAAAAAAAACAAAACACATGGAGAGGTTCTGTAACTTTCTAGGATAGTAAGCATCTCTCTGTGCCTCAGTTACCACGACTATAAAGCTATAAATCTGAGATCTCTTACCCTAAAGATTTAAAAACAAAAACCTATAATTTGTCAAAAACAACTAATATAAAAAACCATAAGCTACTTTATAATGACTGCTACATGACAGCCCACCTCTATTGGGTTTGTTTGGTTTTGATGACAAAGAAAGCGCTCTTAAACAAAATACAAATCAAGCAATCTAATTAGAAATAAAAAAACTTAATCTCACTATACATAATTACAGTTATATATGAAAATTATTTAATTATTTAAAAATCATTATGATGCAAGTATCTAGAAATTAACAATTACTCCTACCAAATCAACTTCATTCTTACAGGAGATTAAGTAATGAATATAAAACACATTATATTTACAGTTCCAAACTTTGACAACTAGTAAGGTCTACATGAGAACTGAAATGTTCAGAAACCCAAGAGTGTCATATTTAAATGTCCTGACAATTTTCACTTAGCCACGATTAAATCTAATTTTTTAAAAATATCTTAATAAGAAAGCTTTCCATGTAACTTATATAATCTGCCACTCCTAGAGACATCTATAGATAAATTAGTATTGATCAGAATACCAATGACAGCATAAGAGTGAAACGATGAAGCATAACTACTTCTTAAGAAAACAATTTTAGTAAGTATCTACCTGTGTCAGACCTGCCTGTTTTCATTTTTTTTAACTTTTCCCTTCCTGGAAAGATACCACTACTTTGTCTTTGTAGGGTATTGACAAACTCAGTCAATTCACACTTCCACGTTGATATGTGATGCAGTCTTGAATGAGAATAGAAGTCTGAAATAAAATTGCAGTCTGAAGGTTTGGATGGCACTGAAGGTGCTGCCTTGCTAAGAGTAGGTACTGAAGAAGTGCTTTTTGTGCTTGAAGGCCCCTGAACAGTGGAGTGGTGAGCACCATTGATTTTAATGTTACTGTGCAAAGACGGTGAGAGAGAATTAGTTCTGTGTGGATTCCGCAAAGCATCTGCATTTCTGGTGCTCTGCTGCAACTGCTGCAAAATGCAGTCTCTGAAGTCAGTGTTGCTCTTCTCAGCCTTCTCCTCCTGGACAGAGTCTGGAGAAAGCCTACTGGCAATATTGTTGTCCACGGACACTAAGCAATCCTGTGTCTTTAAGGCACCATTAGAGCTATGAGTGTGTCCATTAAAAATGGCAGTGCTGCCTCTGGGATGCGGAATTCCATTTTGTTTCCTTCCTGAAAGGGTCTGCTCCAGATCCACAAAATTAAAATCATTATTTGCATCTTCATCATTCCAACTGTTCATTCCGTTGACTTTGACTTCATTATCTGTCTCAATCTTCTTAATTATGTGATTTCTAAAGTAGGGGAACAAATTTATTTAAGTTAATAATATCCAACTTTAAGGTTAAAACATTTTTTTCATTTAAATATTTTCTTACTGATAACACTTCAATATTTCCCTCTTAATAATAAACTTTATTTTCTTTTTGTTCCAACAAAAGATAATTCTTGGCCAAACCAATATAGCAAGATGATGGTTTTCAATTACTTTTCCCACAAAAACTCAGACTCTGTAAAGTACAAATATCTAATTCTGAAACATAGTGCTTGGCATTTATTGATGACATATGCAATAAATATCTGTTAAATTAATAGAATATGAATAACTTCCACAAAAATGGGCAAAAAACTTCACATGAATTCTTTTTCCTTCTGGGTATGTTGCGCACGCCTATAACCCTAGCAACTCAGCAAGCTGAGGCAGGAGGATCACAAGTTCAAGACAGCCACAGCAACTTAGCAAGACCTTGTCTCAAAAAAATTAAAAGGACCAGGGACGAAGCTCAGTGGTAAAGTGCCCCTAGGTTCAACACCCAGAAACCCCAACTCCATGGCAAAAAAATAAAATTCTTATTCCTACTTTTAAATTTAGTCTTTATGTAAACCATTGTCCCACACATTAACTCCATTTAATACCACTACATATGAGACTAAAGTTTTGAGGTCAGTTAAAATTCAGACAGAAAAACTGACAAACTATTAAATGAGACTAACTATTGAATAAATAGATGAAAAGTAATAACCAGACAAATGTACAGGGATAATTCAGTAAAATTTACACCAAGAAAAACAAGATGCTGGGGGTGGGGGATGTTAGGGAAGAATAGTAGTATTTTGGATTAGACAAAGGGGAGTGAAGGGAAGGGAGTGAAAATGGGAATAGAAAAGATACGGTCCAAAGGCAATCCAATGACAGATTTATAACTGAAGGACCTATGTCAAAAGTTATGTTAAAAATTCACATCCTGGGTTTTCTAGATGTTTCCTTAGTAATGCTCTGAAATTACAACAAAACTCATCCACACTTATAAAATAATCGAAGAAACAAATACGAAAACCTGGATTAAAAAGCAGTAATTCATCCTATTTAGAAATGTTGACAGCATTAATCCAATTACAATTCAGGCTCCAGATGAAGGGGTGCCATACATAGCACCACAACACAGGTAACATTACCTGGTCTAAACTCCCTCATCCTAATATCAACATGGTTTATTAGTAATGACGGTGTGAAAATAAGCAAAGGTCATGTAAGTCTGATGCACAACATTACCACCCATTTCTGGGTTGGCTCAGGCTCTGGCCAACTATCTCATGGAATATGACGGCCAATTTTGAATAGATCCAATCCTCACAGATAATCAGCCCAGTGAATGGAAAATAAGCAGAAAAACTGGAAACAGTTAAAATAAGAAAGAAAGAAATCTTATTTCTCACATGTCCAAGAAAGCCTATCCCTTAAGATAAAGAGAAAGCAAGGAAGCAGAAAAGTCACATTAAGAGCACTTCAAAGAAATTTATAAAATATTCTGAATATACACACACCCCCCCAACAAAAATCAAGGAACAAAAGGGATAAGTCAAAAGAAAAGTCTTAGCATCTAGTTTTCCAGGCCAAAACCACTAAGACTGTTTACATGAAATTACCAACACATGAAATAAATTAATATATTGGCAAGAAAATACATCAATATACACTCTTTCTGTACTAGCTTCCCAGACTAGAAAAATAAACATTTGCAAAGTAGCTGTACTAAACATTGGTGGACATACATTTATTAAACAATAGCATAAATATATTAAGAAGTAAAATGTGATGTCTTCCTAAAATTGTCAACAATGAAAAACATATCTATTTTTCTAATTTTATTAGTGTAGGTTAAGAAATAAACTGTATACTTGTGCAAAAATTTACTAATATTACTTGGTTTACTCATTGACAGTATTTTAGAAATTAAAAATTTTAGTAACATGAAAAACATTCGGACATGCTTGTAAGTGAACACAAGTTAAATAACAAATGACAAAAACAGAGTTACAGAAGGTTGTGATATCAGATCCTCCCAGGTTAATCAGACTCTTGATCTTTTGGGAAAAAATATATATCCAACTCCCAAAGCAAGCAATTTAATAAATAGGAGAAGGTTAATGATAATGAACCACTTCATATACAAGTTAAGACAACACACCAATTAATTGTGAAACCAATTTATCCAGGATTATTGCAATAAAAGTTTAAATCAATATATTTCTAAAAATCAGTCACACATAATAAAATCTAAATTCACTCCCAATTCTACAACTGAAGATCACTGACCAAACTTCCAATGGTATAAAATATTTATATATTTAAGGATTATATGTATAGATTTTGAATTTTTCAAAAATAATTAGAAATGTAAACATTCTTTCTGTGCACAGCACATAACAAAAATACAGTGGGTAAAGTTAGTTCCATTTTTGAGAAAGTAATATTCCCTGTGGGGAAATAATTATTTTTATGTGAATTCAAGAAAAACTAAGGAATTAAAAGATGTTAGTTTAACACAAGAATCTAGTACAATCAGAAAAACTTGTTTACATTTACTTATGAAACATTCACCATAAGAACAGTTAATTTGGGGGACAGACATCTGTATAGACATATTTCCATATTTATTAGTGGTGAACAGCCAGGTTTTATATTTGTTTCTATCTTCAGCAGGGCAAGGAGCCATCCTCACTTCTAAAAACCAGCTTTGTTGTTTTCTCAAACTAGATAAACTTACACCCTGTTGTTGAGCTGTCTGGCTATATTGCTTGGACCTGGCACAGGATCCTCAGGCTTGCATACAGGATTAAAGCTGAGGCCTTTCTGCATGCTGGACTGCTTGGTATACAGCTGATATGGAATGCAGGATAGGAGTCGTCCAGCCTTGATGCTAAAACAAGAAAGCAATGCCAAGTTTAGCTTTGTGTACTCGATGAAAATGATCTTCACGAAAAATTAGTGTTCTTAAACATAGAAGTACTTCACTAGCAACAGGCCACCTGCCTTCCTAATTTATTCCTTCTCCATTTTAATGGCCCCAATACACTACCATCTTACTTAAGCACTTAAGGATAAGAAATTCTGCCCATGAAAACAAAGGGATCTGGAATTTTTTAAATTAGTGGCTAATAATCTTATAAAACCAGAGGCAGATCAGAAAAACTCCAAGCACTAGTTGCACTAAGCTGGTATTTTTAAACTTCATGACTATAATATTTACCTGTATTCCCCTATTAAGCCACAGAGAATCATTAAGACTTTCTTGTCAAGCACAGTAGCACATGTCTGTAATCGCAGAAATTCAGGAAGCTGAATCATGAGGATCGAAAATTCAAGGCCTGCCACAGCAACTTACGGAAACCCTCTCTCAAAATTAAAAAAAAAAAAAAAAAAACTTTCCTAAATTCTATGTTACATTCCTGCTAGTCTACTAAATATGGAAAACTAAAACTAAGAACTTAGGACAAAATAAAGAATCTCAACATTAAAACTAATTAGTAATTTATACTATTTAAATGTGTATCTGGGTTTCAAAAGAACATGAACATTTGAACTTTAAGAAGGCAGACATTATCACACATATATAGTCCCAAATGTTGACTTCACAGCAAACATCACCACCCAGAGGAACACCACCAGCATGGCGATACTAGGTGGTACTGGCACTCCTGTCATACTTCCTAACCAAGGAAAGCTACCCGGATTAGATTGTATTAAATTGATTTTGGGCTACTGGATCTTTAAAAATGTCATTTCCCCCTTTTACTTTTAAAATTGCCAACAAATGTGTAAACATACAAATTTTAAAACAGGCAGGTCCTTAAATATTTGGAAATATTTTTTTTAAACTGTTTGATTCTGAAACCTAAAATACATACTAAGGAAGTTATCCCTTAATTATTTAGGAAAAGAACATATTAATAACAGGCTAAAATACTTTTTTGTCTCATAAATCCAAGATTTTTGACACTTTCATTTTCTTAAATGGCACTCTATGTGACTCAAAAAAAAAAAAGGCCCTGAAAGAAATGAAAGAATAATCTTATAGAAAATTATTTTTAAAAACTTGAGTCAATAACTTTGAATCCAAAAAAATACACTGATGAGATTTTATATATATATATATATATTTTTTTTTCCCCCTCCTAAAGATGGAGCCATAAAATGGTACAGCCTAGGTCATCTAACTATGTCAATTACATACACAATTACATCAATTATTTAATAATTCTACCCTCAGTACCTTAAAATATATCCAAATACGTAAACTAGTAAACTATGGTAGTAAAGAATATACAAGTCACAAGACATTTCAATTTTACTCAAATGGATTTATTAGGGCAAATCAAAATTATATGTTACATTCAAATACTAGAAACAAAATTCTAAAATTAGACCATTTATTACTTTACTTTTATTCTTTACTGAATCAACTCTTCTCCCTTAAAAGTTGGTTTCAATTGCCAAACTACAAGTCTCTTGTCTTCTTACAGTATTGTCTATCTCAATTCACCTCCTTTCTCTTCTACCAAAAAGTGGAGGTACTCAATAACTTAAAATAGAATCCCATCTTAACTTAATACTTTTCATCATGGATAGTTATAACAAAGGGATTAGTACACATCTGAGGTAAAATCGAAAGACAGAAACCAGACAAAATACCCAAATAGTGTACTCACTTCTTCAGGCTATTAACAGTATGTAGAGTGCTGCAGACTTCTACAGGTGCTCCCTATGGTCAACACTGACCACACTCAAAGGGATAACACCTTGTCCAGCTCCTTGTCCAGCTCCTAATGAGAGCCATGTGGCCCAGAAGAATTCTTAGGCTTATGCAAGCCCATGGAGATTATTATAAAATTAGACAAACGTAAATACCACAAGTCTCAAGTAAGATATCCTCTGAGCTATTTTAGCAGAAGGAAATAAAGCCCAATGCATGCACTCTAGAAACATTATCTGGAAGTATATTTTGAAAAGATCTTTTAAAATATTTTCTCAGGAATTAATTTCTAACATTTACTAATTTCCCTGCTTATCCTAAAAACAAAGAAAATGTATTTACATTTTTTACCATTTTCCTTCCAAAAAGAAATAAAAGATAAAAACCCAAAGGCACAAATATAAAGAAATCTTTCACTTTACCAAAACATACAACATTGTTTTTTTATGTATATAGCTTTTTCTGTTCACTGCAAATATATTCTGAAATATATAAAAGTGTTTTACATTCTATCTAATGGATCAGACACATGTTTACTGCAAGTGAAATATTCATCTGCTTGGGGGAATATCAATTCTTGCTTTGTCCTATAGCAAAGAAAAGTTATCTCTGAAAAAAAATTCTGTATCTAACAGTTTTCTGAGTCATATTCTATTTCTATCAACTGCCAATGAACAACTTTAAACTGGTAGTTATAAAGAGAGTCTAGAAAATTTTTCAAAACTTAAGATACAAGGGGCCAGAATATAACTCAGTGAAAGAGTATGCCCAAAGCCCTTCATCCAATCCATCGCACCACAGAACAACAAAAAAGGCACCAAAAAGAAGAAGGAAAAAAAAGAAAGAAATTCACTGTGTTGGGTTCTATTATAGTCTGAAATAACTGTGTTTTCTTTTTAGAGTTTCAGGAATAATTCTGAAAATCAAAAGTTTTATAGTTCCAGTCAATGCCCCCCAGTCCTTCTCTATTAGAAAATCAGCATCTAACACCTATATATCCACCTGCACAACCATTCAGGTATCCACCTTCTTCTTCAAAAGTGAATTTAAGGTAAGAAAGGATCTAATTATGTGCCAAGAAAAAAGATGTTCTTTGCCTATTTTTTCTCCATTAGGCAAAAAAAAAAAAAAAAAAAAAAAAAAAAATCATTTTTATGCACTCAAAACTGAAACTCCTTTTGGCCCACCCTCAAGTTCCTGAACGTTTCAGCCACTCACCAAGACACCATGTATTTAGAAAAGTAAGGATGAAAACGTGTGTTTTCACTACAGACACTAGGAGTTAAGCTAAAACCGAGAATATATTTTTATGAAGATATTACTCACAAATCATTAAGAGATGTCCCGAAATGATTGCACTGTTTACATTAGTAAAAATAAATTTAGAATTTTCTAGTTCGTGAGAAAATGTAAAATGATATCATGATTAATTTTTTTTAAAAAGCGAAATTTATAGGAGAAACTAGAATCCTGCAAATATTCTCTGAAGATATGATCAACTTTCATTTAAATGAGTTAAATAATCACTCTAATTAGAAATCAGAGTTTTAGCCCATTTCAAGTATGAGATCTTCAGAGTATTGTTAAGCGTACGACAAATATGCTAACGTCAGTTTGGGAGTTTGTAAAGAAAACACTCTGATAGGGAACCAGTACTATTAGCAGACCTCAAGTGAACTGGCATTAGTTGCAACAATAAATCACCAGCATCTCTCAACTCAGAGACAATCTACTTGGGAATCTAACCATAGGAGACAGGTTCCCACACTCCAAAACAAAAATCAATATTAACAAAAACAAAACCGACCTGTAGTAACTTAAGACTATGGTGTTAAACTGCGCTCCCATGAATACCTCAGGTTTGGCAAGCTAGCAGCTTCTCTACTACATTTCAAATTTCAATGTAAAGTTGTCTCAAAAAAAGGATTATGACAAAATTTTGAAAATAATTTATACTACATAAAAGAGTGTAAGACTTGCAAAGCATAAATTTTAGTAAAATAATCTCATACTTAAACTAGTATACACAGACTTCTCATTAAAGGACTCCCCTGCCTCTTGGATATTAGGGCCCTACGATCACACCTGTATTAACTCAAGTTTAATGGCACATACACTGGCATAAGGGAATTCTAATGAAAGCAATGCCTTACATATTTAAGGTGTAGTTCCTTTTATAACCACTCAGATGAAAACAGAAAAACTAATTATAAAAAAAATAGTATTTATCATCCATTAAATAACATATGTATTTAAAATTTAAAAGTATAACAAAATCTCATTAAAACCCTGCTGAGACAAGATCAACAAGACAGGAATTAGAGTGTTAAAGCAAACAGTACTGGGCTGGGGTTGGAGCTCAGTGGTGGAGCACTTGCCTCGAACATGTGAGGCACTGGGTTCACTCTTCAGCACCACGTATAAATAAAATAAAGGTATTGTGTCCATCTAGAATTAAGAATATTTTAAAAAGTAAAAGAAAACAGTACTATGATTTAACCAAAATGATCCTATGCTATAATGACGTAAAGACATTTGGAATTTATTTTATATATTAAGATACGTGCCCAAAAGGATCCATTTCTACATGGGCCTACTCATCTGTAACAAAATTAATGGTAAAGAGGTAACCCAAATAGGAGTCAGAAAATATGGACCTGGACTCTCAATTCTGCTCTGTTCTTGGGCAAATCAAACTTATTGGCCCTACCTTCTCATACACAAAATGAGGTCAACACACCATATAATCATAATGTTCAAAATCACTTTCAGTTATTTAAAAACAGATAACTAAGCAGAACTCCAGACTAAAATAAAATCCTATTTTTAAACTTTTAATCTCAGCTGCATTATCTCCCTAGCCACATTCAGTAAGAATACGTGTAAAGAAAATAGCTATAATGAAAAAAAACACTGTTTTCAAAGCAAATCTGGTCCCCACCCAGAAAGAACCCTTTCTCCCTGACTTCCCTACCACCCACTGGTTTCCCCCATTCTGTCCAAATCAAACTAACACCTCAAGAACAAAATTCTGGCTCTAACACAATGACAGGATAGTCTCTGACAACACAGCTCAACTCTGGAGTGATGCTAACTTCTTACACTGAGAACTTCATAAGGAGACAAAAAACTAAAAGCCATGTTAATCCTATGTAATGGACAGACAGTAGCTGGGTCATGAGAACACAGTACAAAACAAGATCAGTGGGATGCTCTTAAGAAAGGCCTTTGATTTTAATCCCCCAAGGATTAAAATTCCCTTAGTCTGTAAAATACATTTAGTTTTCTGAAAGCAGTAAAAGCACTTTTTAACTTTTAGAATTTATTTTAGTTTACAGAATAAACATAACAATAGCTTCTTGTGTATTATGCCTCTACAATGTTCTAAGAATTATGTTAAATAACTGACACAAATGATTTCTCTCTCACACATAATCCATAGTAAAAGCTAACAATAATACTGCAAACTGCTCTCCTTCCACTGCCCCTACTTCCAGCATTCCAGGTCACATTATCCTGACATAAAAGAGTAAAGGTTAAAAAAAACAGGGGCTGGGGATGTGGCTCAAGCGGTAACATGTTCGCCTGGCATGCGCGGGGCGCTGGGTTCGATCCTCAGCACCATACAAAAATAAAATAAAGATGTTGTGTTCGCCAAAAACTGAAAAATAAATATTAAAAAATTCTCTCTCTCTTAAAAAAAAGTACATAATATGTAATAAAAAACGATGAACTTTGCTCATATATTAAGTTTATTGACTAAGGTAAGCTCCATGAGATAGTGGAGAGATTTTTGTTTCGTTCACTGATATTTCCCATATACACAAAACAGTCTAGCCCATAATAGATGCATAAATATTTGAACAAAATATTTTTCAAATATTTTCCCTCTCATTAAGTTGATTATCTCAGGTATTTTGTCACCGTGATGGCTAACACACTACTTTTAATAGGATGCCAAATCTTAGGCTACTGGAACTAATGTGAGTTTAAGACTACAGTAGTATTAAGACATTATTTTCCACTCTGTCAATTATGAGGCAATTAAATCAAATATGTATGATAAAATAAAAAGTATTCCATATTTCCAAAAACTTATTAATTTGAATTTCATCAAAAGTTAAACTTACCTTTCCACAATCCATTCTGGTCGAATTACTTTTTCTCCCTTTAATTCTTTAATTTTGGCATTAGGAAGATTTGTGGCAATAATATGTGTTGTTTTGGATCGGGAATAATATACATGGTATTGACCTCCATGTAACATCATTAGCTTTCTCAATTCCTCAGCAGAAGGATCTGTAAAGTCAATATTAAAATACATTAAGAGTTTCATGTACGAGAAAGAAGAACACTAAGGTGAGTAATACCTTAAATACACCAACTTAAAGATCACTGGTTCACTTTCTCCTTGGCTTTGTTGCCATTAAACAAAGGTAGGAGGAAAATCACAAAGTGATAAAGCTATTTGACCTTAGCACATCCTCTTCCTATGGATACCAGAAACAGTCAACCAATATAAAAACATCTACTCTAAGAGATGCCTAAAAGAGCAAACAAGGATTTCAAGTCACACAGAAATTACAAATAACAATTTTTAAAATATTTTATCATATTTAACATGTCCTTAATACTAGTATCTCGTTTTTTTAAAAATTAGCGATAATCTTTTAACTCCTTCAGAATAATAAAAGAGTAATCAGATAAATTACTCATACTTACCATAAGTAGACTTACTGCAGGGCTTATAATAAAGACTTGGCTCTTATGAGGCTTAACAATTTTAGTTTGTATTTAAGAAAACACTTAAAAAGTCAATTAAACATGTATGACCGCACATACGCTACAAGCTGTACAACCACAGAAATGTAAAGTTGTGCTGCAATTGTGTACAATGAATCAAAATGCATTCTGCTGTCATATATATCTAATTAAAATAAATTAAAATATAAAAAAATTTTAAAGTCAATTAAATAAGTTAATCTCATTCAATTCCGTAATATAAAAACCTCATCAAGGCCAAAAAATAAAATTCATCAATACAAACAAAAACTAAGAAACACCATTTTAAAAACTGTTTGAAATTATTTTATTCTGAGTAAAACTATAGCAAACATCTTAAACATCCAAAACTTTTAAGAAATATCAAAATCAATATGATGTATGCTTTCCCATAAAAAAGAAATGTGATTAACTAAAGTGATGTTGTAACCTACAATGCTAGTATCATGTTAAACCATTTTCACTTTTCTGATTCTTTCACCTATCATCTTAATGAATGCTCTAAATCACACCTTCCCTAACAACTGTACCCGAGGGAAGTTTCCAAAGGAGCCTTATGTATCTGCCCTGTTATTCAACAACAGTTTTCCTTAAGCCCAAACAATGTATGTCCAAGTGTTTAAATGTTTTTATAACGACACCTCTCTAATTAGGTTTCAGTCTTCTGTACAAAGACAGAGGGGGTATGGGGAACTAATAGCATATATATATATATATATATATATATATGCCAGTTTTGTCTAATTATTGATAAATTCTTGAAGCATAGTATTCATTTCATGCTTATTACATGTACTGGCAATGTCCAACAGAAATGAAATCCACAATGCACAATATATAATTTAAAAATTTCTTGAGCCTCATGAAAAACATTTTTAAAAAGCCAGCCATGATAGTGCATGCCTATAATTCCAACAACTCAGGAGGCTGAGGCAGGAGTATTACAAGTCTGAAGCCAGCTTGGGAAATTAGCATGACCCTGTCTCAAAATGAAAAATTAAAAGGCACCAGGGATGTAGTTCAGTGGATTTAAAAAAAGGTGAAATTAATATTAGTAATATTTTATTTAATCCATTAGAGCCAAAATACTATTTTGGATATAATCGATATATAAAATTGAGATTTACATTCTTTTTTAAATTAAATCTCCAGAATATAGTCGAAATTTTATATTTAAAACACTCCTTACTTTAAATTTTATATTTAAACCACTTCTCCAGTGCTCAACACATGTGGAGAATTAAAAATATACTTCTGAATAAAATGAATTCAAAATTCACAATGGAAGATTTTTAAAGATCCCCAAAACTAAATAATAGTTATCATTTAGTTTATAAATCTATATAAAATGGTGGTATGAAACAACTAGACAGACAGGAATCTACCACTTACTTTCTCTGAATTAAAGCAAAGATTCAAGAACTTAAGTGACCTTATAAAATGACAAATAAAAAATACTAAATTAAAGGCTAGAGTACAGTACAATAAGAACCCCAAATCCAGTAAGAAGCACACAAATCTAAAAAATCATTTTTGCAAGTTAATCTCTGACTTTCCTAAACTAATTCCAATCCTATTAACCCATGTGGTTCCACATCCTATGTGGACCTCCTATGAAAACTTAAATACAATATATATATATAATTTTATAACTTCATAATTATAATTAGATATTAATATGACGATAAATAAGCTCTAAACTATTACTTCCAACATTATTGTAATGCACCTGTGTCAACTCTGTTGAAATATTCACAGAAATGAAAACTTGGGGCTTAACAGGATTTAAGTTATTTAAGTAGAAAATAGTTAGCTATCCTCTATTCAGTTAGTCAAAAGATAAGTCAGAACCCACTAACTTTGCAAACACATACTCTTAAAGCACTCTTCCCTCTACCACTTGAAATACAATCTTTGAAAGCTAATTAAATTTGGAACTGGAAAACCTGGAGAGTTCATTGTTCTTGCACTGCATGAAGACACACAGCCTATCTGAAGCTCAAGTTTGAAAGCTCTTGCAAATTCTTCAGCATGAAGTGAACCATAAAAACCAATCTAATTAAAAGGTGAAATCTCATAAACTATGTCATCAGACTGACCCAACTTTAATCCTGAGTTTGGCTTTCACACCCTTTAGCTGTTTCGGCTTTTTTCTTTCTTACAAATAAGAAATAAAAGAGTAACAATGATCTAAGTCTGGCACATAGGAAGCCCTCAATATGAAAGCTGCTGTACAATATGATGACATCAGAACTCCTTTCAAGTAATATATATAATTTGAGGGTCCTGACCTGGACCCTTATTAAAATAGAGGTGGGGGTAGATGATATATAGACTACCATGTGGTAGCCCTAACTTTCAAAAAAAAAAAAAAAAAAACAACAACTGCTGACAGTGTACTAAGGACAGTGGCTAGGGATTACTCTATCAAGACATATCCTGGCATGGTATCTTCCAGCATACCTAGTAGTTGGTGGCTGCTCTTATTTTGAGATATAAAAAATTTTTCAAAATAGGGGCTATAACTCAGCAGAAGGGCATCTACCCAGCATGCACATGGCCCTGGGTTTAATCCCTAGCAACACACACACACACACACACACACACACCACTTTCTTTCTCTCTCTCAAAACACACATACACATTCTCTCTTTCTCTCTCTCTCTCTCTCTCAAAACAGTATTTCTTTCTGGTTCTAATTCTTCAGTAGTAAAGCATGCTCCCATCTTACAACCTCAAAACAATATAAACAAATAGCTATGAAGGTTTACATAATAAATTCATTTTTTATATGTAAGATGCTCCTTTAATTCATCAAATGTGGAGTTAATTACAAAAAAAAATTTGGAAGATAGTGTCCAAAATCATGAAATCTGTATGCACTGTGTGACATACTGCCTGCAGCAGATAATTTTCTTCATAGCACTGGTAATTTGAAATTACCTTCTCTATTTGTTTACTTTATTGTCAATTACCCCTGTAACATATGCTCCTTGTGGACAGGAATCTTCCCTGTCTTGTTTTCATATCCTTTACACAAAGCAGATGTGCAGTAAGTATGTGTTGAATTAATTGACAACCTCAATGCATCACAGGCTCCCTCCTGGAGTCCACCTCTCTGGCACACATGGAATGCATGTGGCAGCAATACTTCCTTCCACACACACACCACTCATTTACTAAGAGGACAGACACCAAAGATGAAGGGCGTTCAAATTCTAGCTCTGTCACTAGTTAGTTATGTGGACCCCAAGAAAGTTTCTTATTTTCACAGAGCCTCAGTTTCCTCATATGTAGAACAGGGATAACAACAGAGGGCTGTTGTGGAGACTAAATGAATTAAAATTTATAAATGACTGAGAAAAGTACCTTGGACAGAAAAAAATACTTATGTCAGCTATTACCAGTGTTATTAGTATTAACATTACCATTTCTTATCCCAAAGCAGGAAGGAAGCAGCATCAGGTGAGGCTGCTCCACCCATAAAATTTTTCCAACTCACAATTCCTCCTAACAAATCTTTCTCTATTGCTCACCCTTCAGTAAGTCTTCATTTAAGAATGTCCTTAATGTATGGGAAGGAATAAGAATAGAAAATGAAAAAACAAAAATAGACTAAGGGAAATTCAACCCTCCATCTTTACAATCAATGTCACACCCTAGGGAGTGTCAGAACTAAAAGAGCTTTTCAGAAGTCTAATGACCATTTCATTTCCCACAGCAGTACACACAACCTAATGAAAGTAAACAGACTGGACCAATTCAAATAGTTAGCAGATAAAATTAACATCCCTAAACCCTCATTACACATCCTTCTTGAACATATTACTTTTAAATTAATAAGAGTATGAAAATGACAATATTCCAGCCAACAAAATCATTACCCACAAATCTTTTAGTGAGGACCTTAAATAAATAAAACAGTGTTTCTGAGGCTCATGGCTTCATAGGTGACTTTACCAATAGAAAAAAATAAAGTGTTGGTTCGAATGAGGTTTTTAAGGAACATGTGCCAAAGAACTATTTCCTTAAAGTTCTACTAAGGTTTTAAATAACAAATTATTATTCATTCAATGTGCCTGATATAAGTTTTTATAAATAGCATTAATTTTAGGCCGATTAATCTTGAATAGTGGAACCCTTTCAAAATCAATGTTTATTGTTATATTCTATGCATAGTGTAAAGATCAGAAATACAAAAACAACAACAACAAAAAAAAGCCTGGAAATATCTGAATGCTTTAACATTGCATTCTATATTATAGTTTACTCCTGACAATCCTACCAAGTAATATAATCCTCATTTCAAAGAAAAACAAATCAGATTGGAGAAATGAAGTTAACTTTCCAAAGTCACATGCAGCTACGAAAATGGCCAAAATTCAGATTCAGGTCCAGTCTTGTGAAAGTCTTACTCAAACAACATTTTTTTTTTTCTTTTTCTTTTTGGTACAGTGCTGGGAATCCAATCAAAACCAAAGTCTAGAGCATGGTAGGCAAATGTTCCACCACTGTGC